CAAAATCTCACGATACATGGCCCCATTCATTCGTTCCTTTACACGGATCAGTCGTCCTGGTCCCTTTGCAGAAAAACAGCCCCAAAGCATGATGTTTCCACCCCCATGCTTCACAGTAGGTATGGTGTTCTTTGGATGCAACTCAGCATTCTTTGTCCTCCAAACACGACGAGTTGAGTTTTTACCAAAAAGTTATATTTTGGTTTCATCTGGCCATATGACATTCTCCCAATCCTCTTCTGGATCATCCAAATGCACTCTAGCAAACTTCAGACGGGCCTGGACATGTACTGGCTTAAGCAGGGGGACACGTTTTGCACTGCAGGATTTGAGTCCCTGGCAGCGTAGTGTGTTACTGATGGTAGGCTTTGTTACTTTGGTCCCAGCTCTCTGCAGGTCATTCACTAGGTCCCCCCGTGTGGTTCTGGGATTTTTGCTCACCGTTCTTGTGATCATTTTGACCCCACAGGGTGAGATCTTGCGTGGAGCCCCAGATCGAGGGAGATTATCAGTGGTCTTGTATGTCTTCCATTTCCTAATAATTGCTCCCACAGTTGATTTCTTCAAACCAAGCTGCTTACCTATTGCAGATTCAGTCTTCCCAGCCTGGTGCAGGTCTAAAATTTTGTTTCTGGTGTCCTTTGACAGCGCTTTGGTCTTGGCCATAGTGGAGTTTGGAGTGTGACTGTTTGAGGTTGTGGACAGGTGTCTTTTATACTGATAACAAGTTCAAACAGGTGCCATTAATACAGGTAACGAGTGGAGGACAGAGGAGCCTCTTAAAGAAGAAGTTACAGGTCTGTGAGAGCCAGAAATCTTGCTTGTTTGTAGGTGACCAAATACTTATTTTCCACCATAATTTGCAAATAAATTCATAAAAAATCCTACAATATGATTTTCTGGAAAGAAATGTCTCAATTTGTCTGTCATAGTTGACGTGTACCTATGATGAAAATTACAGGCCTCTCTCATCTTTTTAAGTGGGAGAACTTGCACAATTGGTGGCTGACTAAATACTTTTTTCCCCCACTGTATATCCACAGTAAAACGAGTCCTATATCGACATAACCTCAAAGGACGCTCAGCAAGGAAGAAGCCACTGCTCCAAAACCGCCATAAAAATGACAGACTACGGTTTGCAACTGCACATTGGAACAAAGATTGTACTTTTTGGAGAAATGTCCTCTGGTCTGGTCTGGTCTGATGTCTGTTTGGCCATAACGACCATTGTTATGTTTGGAGGAAAAAGGGGGGTCTTGCAAGCCAAAGAACACCATCCCAACCGTGAAGCACGGGGGTGGCAGCATCATGCTGTGGGGGTGCTTTGCTGCAGGAGGGACTGGTGCACAAAATAGATGGCATCATGAGGAAGGAAAATTATGTGGATATATTGAAGCAACATCTCAAGACATCAGTCAGGAAGTTAAAGCTTGGTCGCAAATGGGTCTTCCAAATGGACAATGACCCCAAGCATACTTCCAAAGTTGTGGCAAAATGGCTTAAGGACAACAAAGTAAAGGTATTGGAGTGGCCATCACAAAGCCCTGACCTCAATTCTATGGAAAATGTATGGGCACAACTGAAAAAGCGTGTGCGAGCAAGGAGTCCTACAAACCTGACTCAGTTACACCAGCTCTGTCAGGAGGAATGGGCCAAAATTCACCCAACTTATTGTGGGAAGCTTGTGGAAGGCTACCCGAAACGTTTGACCCAAGTTAAACAATTTAAAGGCAATGCTACCAAATAGTAATTGTGTGTATGTAAACTTCTGACCCACTGGGAATGTGATGAAAGAAATAAAAGAGAAAATAAATAATTCTCTCTACTATTATTCTGACTTTTCACATTCTTAAAATATAGTGGTGATCCTAACTGACCTAAAACAGGGAATTTTTACTAGGATTAAATGTCAGGAATTGTGAAGAACTGAGTTTAAATGTATTTGGCTAAGGGGTATGTAAACTTCCTACTTCAGCTGTATATATATATATTCTCAATTTGGTTTTATAAATGTCATAACCAAAATCTGGAAATGTCTCCAACTCTACCAATGAGAAATCAGTGACTCTTGTCAACTGTAACAGTTGGATCTGACTCTTACATTGATGTCAGTGTCCTCACAGGGCCATGTATCAATGTGTTGCCTTAGTCTTATTGACATTATGGTTTGTAGAAGAATCCAGGACCCAATGGTTAGTCCTGGATAGGAAGAAAATGTTTATTTTATTTTGTTTTCTCAAAGAAGAGAACACTATAATTAAGTAGCGCTACAATTATTTCATGGTTTAGCTATTTCCCTCTGTCATTATGTTGTTACATTGAAGTTCTAGATTTGAGTGTTTCTCATATTTCAATATCCAAACAAAATTAGTGGTCATGATCATTTGTAGAAATGTGAGATCATAATATCAATATCCTTGATGTTGAAAAACAGGAACATTCAATTGTTCCCGTCTTTCCCCTGAAAGCTTTTTGGGTGAGTCCAATGTCTACTCCCATATATCTTCACTAACGGAATGGAAAGATGTAATATGAGAATCTTAAATTAGTCCTCAGACAGGGCAAAGACAAAGAGCCTTTTTAGGCTTCTTGCGGATATTCTCAAAAACGCTGAGTTGCAATCCATATAGAAAGTTAATATGCAGTAATGTTTAATGTCAGCACATGTTGCAGAATTACTTTGGCATCTGTTCTGCCTTTTTGGGAGAGTCGGAGCTCTTTCTCTGACTGGCTGGCCTGGCAGTAGGCCAGGATGAATGGCTGACTTGCCGCAGACTGAGGTTACTGACAGTAGCCAAAGTCTGGCCATGGGAAAGGCAGAGGTGTCCTCTGGTCAGGTAAGGTGCTGTGATGTGCATCCACACCTGGCAGAGGGAACGAGACTGAAAAGATATCTGCTAATGTTTATTATGATTATTTTATATCTTCAAAGTATTTTTGTTTTAAAAAATTACATTAAAACGCAAGATGAGAAGATTGAAAAGAAAATGTGTGAAGTAACAACTGTAATGAATGTCTCCAACTATTTGCGACTTTCTGTATAACGATGATCAAACACCTTGAGCGAGGTGACACAGCTCTTTGCTCTTGTGAGTGAAGACAACCTCCCTACCCAACTTCCCTCCCCACTGCCCCCTCCCAACCCCCAAGTGGGTTTATTGATTCTTGTTCGAGATACTTTCTTGGAGAGGAGGGCAGCTTACCCGGGCCCCCTGAATTGATGTGGCAGGTTGGTGATCCTCCTTTACCGTGTACCAATACTAGCTTGGCTCAGGTCCTAAATGTTGTCTGCCTGTGCATTCAGTGTGTCCTGAGCTGTGGCTTTCTCAGCAGGTATTTTACAGTGATATTCTTGCATCCCATCCCACTGCCCCTCCTCAACAGCTTGCATGCCATCCATCCGCTGACATGGTCTGAAAGGCCAGCCTTTGTATGTATGTCTTGATCATGTCATCATCATCATGGACTATAGTATGTAGCCTATGAGAAGTACATATACAGATATAGGCTACAGGAAGGATAGGCACTCCTACAGCACCTCATAGATATTAAGAATGTATTATATTCTAACAGTTTTAGCTTGCTATGCTGTTTACCCTCAAGTACAAGTTTGTCTGTCCAAAACAAAAATGTGTACTTTTCAAACACTTTGTTTCCCATCTCCTTCAACTGCACTCACATAAAGATTAAATATCACTCAACACTCTGATCTAAATAGGTTGCATGTGAAACCCCAGTGAGGAAGAATATCATTTTAAAATACATTTATTGTCTCTATGTGTGGTCCCTCGTGTACATGGAAACACTTTCATCCAATTTATGAAGTTGTCCTCAACAACTTTCTCATGTATATATGCATGGTGCTGTGACAACCAGCTCAATGTGGACACGTGTGTTGTCGGACTGCATCTGTCGTGGTTTTTGTTTGTTTATTTTCAATGTGTACATTATTTTCCTCTGTATCTCAACTCTCTCTTCATTTTGACTGTGTAAGCAGTGTGCCGTCACCTCATGCCATCTTGTACACTCTGCCAATGAAAAGAACATACACAACAGTCTCCTGTGACACATTGTGTATTCTTTTTGCAAGGTTTGCAATGGATCTATGCCAATTACTTGTGCTAGAGTCTCTCTCTATACACAAACACTTCACTTCTTTGTCAAATTATGTATACATACTCCGTATTTGTATTTATTTAAACAGGGAAATCCCATTGAGGCCTCTTTTACAAGGGAGCCCTGCACACAATCATACAAATTCACAATATTTACAATTCCAATGCAATAAAAGCATACAACATTTACAAGTAATTTAAGAAAAGTAACTTACAAAACACCATCATGAAAAACAAACACATTCCTCAGTAAAACCAGCCATCTGAACTGCTCTAGCGGCAGCAAAACATCCAACTTTAGAGCATGTGAAACATTGGGTGTTAAATTCAGCAAATGCCATCCTGAACATTACCTGGCAATCTTGACTCCATTGTATAATCAATAACATTGGAAGGAAAATGTTGTTGTACTTGTGTGTTGTTCAGATCAACGTGTTGGTGCTGGTTGGTTGGGCATGCGTGGTAATGACTGCACTCAGCATGTATTGGATGGTTCACTCAATGTTTGCACTCAGGGGAGTTTTGTGTGGAGTTGGTCTGTATTAATGTTGTGTACTCCAGACTTCCAGTGCTTGAGTTGCTGACTAGGGTTACCTGGTTGTGCAACTCAAACAAATGCCATTTTGTTTTCCAAAATGGCTTCTCACACTTTTTAAATGTTGTTGTGTGTTTCTTTTTTGTCACTTTTATCATGGATGTTGGTTCTTCTTGTCTCTCTCAACAATGAACGTCTCAACTTCAGTCATGAAGTGTTTATCGTCGGGCTAAATGTGAATGTTTGATATAAAATGTCTTGCTGAAATACTTGATCAACATTTTTATACTCATACCCACGTTTTGTTATTCATGTATGTAAGTTAACATCAGTTCCTTTTTTGTTTGCAGTGGAGCCCCCCTCAGACTTGAAATTTACCATTCTAAATGAGGACACAGTGCAAATGTCATGGAGAAAACCATCGCATAGGATACAGGGCTACAGAATACAAGTTGTATCGGATACAGGTTTGTATTTATTGATCTCATCAGTTCATTGATGTTTGCCTTACTAGTTATAGCTTTTCATGCCAAGCCGAATGATCATTTTCACCAACTCTAATGGCAACCGATTCTCTATATCCCAGATGAACCAGCCAGAGAGATAAGCCTCCCAGCCACTGCTACAAAGACGTCTATTACAGACCTAACTCCTGATCTGGACTACTCAGTGTCCATCAACTCCTATGATGGCACAGAGGAGAGTATACCCATCTTTGGCCAGCTCACTAGTAAGTGTTCAAGATTCTGATGCTGTTACAAGGTAAAAAATAACTTTTGGAAAATCCGATGGCTTTCTCAAAAGGCTGAAATGGACTGATATGAAAAGGGTTATTCAGTCATAAGGAACAATGGACCCATTACATGTTTATATGTATGTGATTGGTATCCCATTGAAGAGGATTGATGATTTGTTGATTGTCTTGGATTTATTCCCCCTACATGGCACACAGGATATCATGATAACAGTCCAAATTCTCTTGTGTTTCAGTTCAGTCCAGTAACACAAGTGAAACAGAAAGGAGGCCGCCGACTTCAGATGCAATCAGTAAGCATGATTTTACGTCAATGTCAACCCATCTGTGCCATGCCCATTGCCTGTCCACATAGCTTTACGATCTTGCCAGTCCATTTTTTTTGTTTTTCCATGGACTTCCATTATAATCATAATATTGTTCCCTGGAATAATTTCCTCAGCCTCAAATACCCCTTCTGTACTGCTGAGTGTCAATATTTGAGCAGAAAGGGGGTTCCGACAGTGGCTGAGAATTAGTTCGTAATTGAAAACAGTCTTCACATCAAAATCTAAGAATGAGAGGGTTCTGTTATGCATCATGGAGGCAACCTGGTTCCTTTTGTTCTCGCATAATCCAAGCAGAAGGATGACGTCACTGTCGTGCCAGCTCTGTGCATTTCCGTCTTTTTAAATGTTGAAAGAAGTGGAAAGGATTACTGCTCTGACCAGAAGTCCTTTTACTGGAGTTCTGTGCCTCTCTGTGAGTTCAGTCTGTGGACTGACAGGGAGACATGCTCACTTTTTCCCGCACCATGTACGCTTTGGGTGGAAATTGAACCCAGAGGTCCAGATGGTCCAAAAACCTTTGCTCCTAGATGCTATTTCTGGTGGAACGCTCATAGCACTCTTTCACAATTGACCTAATTGGCCAGATAAATCCGTAGAACTTGATATTTGATGTTTTGTCAAGAAATCTTCAAAAGTCGTGAATAACAAGATGTGAGATGGATATTGAGTCAAGTAGACCTACGGGATCTAAGATTTGAGACATTCATAGAAGTCCTGCCAATTATTGCAATGCAGTCATCTTGGATGTTACAGCGAATCTGAACGATCCATTATTTTTTTCTTAAACATGGGGGTTTGAAAACATAAAACCAAACAATGCAGCTGAAAGTTTAAGTGATTATGTGGTCCATAAAAACACATTTTTGTCTTCATGTCTGTTGGAATACCATCTGTCAGAGACTGTCTATCAGATATACAGTATTCATTAGAGTAGCGAAAAGGTGTGCCAATCTGCCAGATTGTGTCCAGACAATTGATTGTGTTCCTGCTCTACCCCATCCCCCTCTCCACCCCTCCAGAGTGTTCAGTCAGTGCCATAGCAGACCTGGTCTTCCTGGTGGATGGCTCCTGGAGCGTTGGCAGGGAAAACTTCAAGCACATCCGCAGCTTCATCAGTGCTATGGCTGGGGCCTTTGATATCGGACAGGACAAGACCAGGGTGGCTGTGGTCCAGTACAGCACAGACACCCGCACTGAGTTCCTCCTCAACCGCCACTCCAAACGAGGAGAGCTGCTCAGAGCCATCAACACCCTGCCCTACAAGGGAGGAAACACCATGACAGGTATACATGATAGGAGGGACTAGACAGCATGGATATACAGTACTGGCAATGTTTTGTAAGTTCTTGCTAGACTGAATCCTAACTTGAGATCCGTGTGTGTAACTAGAACAAGTCTTCCATTGATTTACGTACATGTTCTGGTTACGCGCTTGTTCTCAAGTTAGGCTTCCGCCCACAGACAGTAAATGTTATACAGTGAGGGAAAAAAGTATTTGATCCCCTGCTGATTTTTTACGTTTGCCCAATGACAAAGACATGATCAGTCTATAATTTTAATGGTATGTTTATTTGAACAGTGAGAGACAGAATAACAACAAAATAATCCAGAAAAACGCATGTCAAAAATGTTATAAATTGATTTGCATTTTAATGAGGGAAATAAGTATTTGACCCCTCTCAATCAGAAAGATTTCTGGTTCCCAGGTGTATTTTATACAGGTAACAAGCTGAGATTAGGAGCACACTCTTAAAGGGAGTGCTCCTAATCTCAGTTTGTTACCTGTATAAAAGACACCTGTCCACAGAAGCAATCAATCAATCAGATTCCAAACTCTCCACCATGGCCAAGACCAAAGAGCTCTCCAAGGATGTCAGGGACAAGATTGTAGACCTACACAACGCTGGAATGGGCTACAAGACCATCGCCAAGCAGCTTGGTGAGAAGGTGACAACAGTTGGTGCGATTATTTGCAAATGGAAGAAACACAAAAGACCTGTCAATCTCCCTCGGCCTGGGGCTCCATGCAAGATCTCACCTCATGGAGTTGCAATGATCATGAGAACAGTGAGGAATCAGCCCAGAACTACATGGGAGGATCTTGTCAATGATCTAAAGGCAGTTGTGGTCAGATGAGACCAAAATTGAGCTCTTTGGCATCAACTTAACTCGCCGTGTTTGGAGGAGGAGGAATGCTGCCTATGACCCCAAGAACACCATCCCCACTGTCAAACATGGAGGTGGAAACATTATGCTTTGGGGGTGTTTTTCTGCTAAGGGGACAAGACAACTTTACCGCATCAAAGGGACGATGGACGGGGCCATGTACCGTCAAATCTTGGGTGAGAACCTCCTTCCCTCAGCCAGGGCATTGAAAATGGGTCGTGGATGGGTATTCCAGCATGACAGTGACCCAAAACACACGGCCAAGGCAACAAAGGAGTGGCTCAAGAAGAAGCACATTAAGGTCCTGGAGTGGCCTAGCCAGTCTCCAGACCTTAATCCCATAGAAAATCTGTGGAGGGAGCTGAAGGTTCGAGTTGCCGAACGTCAGCCTCGAAACCTTAATGACTTGGAGAAGATCTGCAAAGAGGAGTGGGACAAAATCCCTCCTGAGATGTGTGCAAACCTGGTGGCCAACTACAAGAAATGTCTGACCTCTGTGATTGCCAACAAGGGTTTTGCCACCAATACTAAGTCATGTTTTGCAGAGGGGTCAAATACTTATTTCCCTCATTAAAATGCAAATCAATTTATAAAATTTTTGACATGTGTTTTTCTGGATTCTTTTGTTGTTATTCTGTCTCTCACTGTTCAACTAAACCTACCATTAAAATTATAGACTGATCATTTCTTTGTCAGTGGGCAAACGTACAAAATCAGCAGGGGATCAAATACTTTTTTCCTTCACTGTATTACACTAAAAAGTTTTAAGAAACGCTATGTTCTTATAGGTAAAACATTTTACACTCTGTGTCTAGGGGACGCCTTGGACTACCTGCTGAAAAACATATTTACGGAGGCGGCCGGCGCCAGGAAAGGCTTTCCAAAGATAGCCATGATCATCACAGATGGAAAATCCCAGGACCCAGTGAAGGAGTACGCTAAACGACTCAGGAACATTGGAGTGGAAGTATTTGCCTTAGGTACTGTATGTTTTACTGCTGAATGCTACTCTCTCTTGAGAACATCCCTATAATGCTTTTAGTTTTTGAATTTCTGGAGATTCCGTAATGGCTGATTTCCACAGTACTCCATTTCTCAGGTTAACTTCTGAGATGTTTTAAACCATTTAGGCATCAAAGGAGCAGATGAGGATGAACTGAAGGAAATGGCCTCAACTCCCCACAGCATACATGTCTACAACGTACCTAACTTTGATATGATCAAGGCAGTGCAGCAGAAGCTCATCATTCAGGTGTGCTCCGGTGTGGAAGACCAGCTCAACTCTCTAGTGAGCGGAGATGATGGTAAGACATTATAGATTATGCATTACATCACATTTCCATGGTTTGATTTAAATCTTCACTTATTTCAAGTACATTGTCTATAGATGCTAAATGTAACGAATCAACAACAACAACTATGTAACTGTAAATGTATTGCTAAAGTGTCTTCCGACCATACTACAGTACATTCCAACCTCAACAGTGTTTATTTGTTCTGTCTCTAGTGGTGGAACCAGCCTCTAACCTCCAGGTGCTTGAGATCTCCTCTAAGTCCATGAGGGTGACGTGGGATGCCTCTCTAGGGGAGATCACGGGCTACAAGCTGATCCTGATGCCCATGATGGCTGGGATGAAGCGCCAGGTGGTATACGTGGGGCCCACCCAGACCACTGTCAACGTCCGGGACCTGTCCCCAGAGACCGAGTACGAGATCAGTCTGTTCGCCCTGAAGGGTCTGACCCCCAGTGACGCTGTTCTGGCCATGGAGAAGACTCAGCCCGTTAAGGTTTCACTGGGTGAGATAATGCTCTGTAAAAGCATATCAGCGATCCAGTCCCTCACTTACTCACTCACTCACTCACTCACTCACTCACTCACTCACTCACTCACTCACTCACTCACTCACTCACTCATTCATTCATTCATTCATTCATTCATTCATTCATTCATTCATTCATTCATTCACTCACTCACTCACTCACTCACTCACTCACTCACTCACTCACTCACTCACTCACTCACTCACTGAAACATTACATTGTTGCTATAAAAAAGATTTCACAATGTAGAACATATACAGAAGGTATCTAATGTACTTTCCTCCCCAGAATGCTCTCTTGGAGTGGACGTACAGGCTGACGTGGTCCTGCTGGTTGATGGCTCTTACAGTATCGGATTACAAAACTTTGCCAAGGTCAGAGCTTTCCTGGAGGTCCTGGTCAACTCCTTCAACGTCGGGCTCGACAAGATACCGGCTCAGCTTAGTCCAGTATAGCAGAGACCCCCACACCGAGTTCGCCCTGAACACCTATAATGACATTGCTTCAGTGGTCAAGGCTGTCCGGACGTTCCCCTACCGCGGAGGCTCCACCAACACTGGCAAGGCCATGAACTACGTCAGAGAGAAGATCTTTATCCCCACCCGAGGGTCTCGCGACAGTGTCCCGCGTGTCATGGTCCTCATCACTGACGGGAAGTCCTCTGACTCCTTCAAGGACGCTGCCACCAACCTGAGGAATATAGACGTGGAGATCTTTGCTGTGGGTGTGAAGGACGCTGTGAGGTCCGAGTTGGAAGCCATTGCTAACACCCCGGCAGCCACCCACGTGTACACTGTGGAGGACTTTGATGCTTTCCAGAGGATCTCCAAGGAGCTCACACAGTCCATCTGCCTCAGGATCGAACAGGAGCTCCTCAACATCAAGAAGAGGAGTGAGTAGCCATTTAACATACCCTTATAACAAAGGACCAGGTTTTTCTTGGTCTGGGCATGTGGTCAACAAAAACTCCTAGGCCTACTCATAACACATACCCCTGTTTGAAGTTGAGCATGCTTACCATGGACTGTACATGTACCTGTAACTATAGCTGTATAATCATACATGCTGGTTAACTTTAGTGGCAGCTGCTAAGGGACCTCAAACTCCATACAGTCTATTGTAATCCGTTATTTGCGATGTGGTACAGCAGGTCAAACTGAGCTGTGCTACTGAAATAGTGATGTCACGATGTAATTACATCTACACAACACAAAAAGGCTGAGTAATAATTCTTAATCTTATATTTCACAATGCCTTGGGTCTGTTTCAGGCAGACAAAAGTGAGGCATATTCATTGTTTTAACTTTCCCTGACTGAGCACACTGCCTCCAAAATACCACAGAACCATATGCCTGCATCTCAGGGGAGCCCGTTACACCATTTGTTATCGTTTACGGTTTTTAAACACTATAGTAACTGACTGGATATTTTTATTCTGACCTAATTGTCCTGCTAATTCAAAGACCACTTGTCTCTGAAAGGCAGCAGGACTGTAGATGGTTTTTAACACTATGGTAGCATGACATGAGTTTCTCTGCTGCACATATTGGTAATGACCCCCCTGTCACAAGAACACAGAACGATTAGGCATTGGCATTGTCCAGGGGTTTGTAATATGAATGTGTTGCAACCCTGTCGACTGAATGCATAATGCTAGCATACGAGGAGCGTTTCCTATTGCTAAGACACTCATGAAAAATAAATGTTGAGAGAGGGAACTGTGAACGAAGTGGAATGAGTTCAAATAATTGGTTCCATTCCAGCTTTTCTGAATGAATAAGATGGACAGTTCTCCTTAATGTTATCAAAAGCCATTATTATGACGTTGTCTATGAGGACAAAACACAAACCAGTCATTTAATTGTGTTTTATCCCTCTCATCAGGTCTGATTGCACCCAGGGACCTGGTGTTCTCTGAGGTGACGTCTAGAAGCTTCCGTGCCACCTGGGCCACCGATGCCACCAACGTTATGTCCTACCTGGTGCGTTTCCGTAAGGCCGAGGACATCACTGAGGATTACATCTCCCTGGCTGTGCCAGCCGACACCACCAGCGCAATCTTGCCACACCTCACTCCCCTCACCACCTACGAGGTCAACGTGTTCGCCCAGTACGACAAAGGAGACAGTTTCCCTCTGTCGGGGGAGGAGACCACTCTGGAAGGTAAGGGCTTAAAAGCGTACACGTTCAGGGGTTTCACAGTGTAAGCAAGTGAAGAGATATATGTTTTAGTGCTTTTGTTTTTTCACAAGAAACTTACATGGCTTCTTCAAGTTGCCTCCTTTAGATGCAAAATCATTCAATCGGTTATCCAGAGTCTTTATCCTTAAAAGTTATATTGACAAGCCACTGCTAAACAAACCTAAACGTTCTCCCTTCCAGAGCAAGGGACGGTGCTGGGACTGAGTGTGTCTGAAGAGACAACGGACAGTTTCCGGGTGTCGTGGCTGGCGGCACCAGGAGCCGTGGTGAGGTACCGGTTGTCCTATGTCCCCATGACGGGGGGAGGAGAGAGGCTGGAGGCCCAGACCAACGGACCTGACACCACCATCGTGCTCCAGGAGCTGTTCCCTATCACCACCTACAGCGTGTCAGTGTCTGCAGAGTACACCTCCGGCTTGGGAGACGAGATGCAGGTGGACGGAACCACCAAGGAAGGTCAGTCAGTTAGCCAGCATGGCTATTAACATTTAAATTCCTTACCTGTAGCTAATGCAGTTTTTTACTGTACATAAGTGAAGATGCAGTAATTGGTTGACCCATATGTGTCTTTTCCCCCTCAGTCCGTGGTTCTCCCCGCGATCTCAACGTCTTCAATGAGACCGTGTCCAGCATGATTGTGTCGTGGCGGGCCGCTCCCGGGAACGTCCTCCAGTACCGCGTGGCCTTCAAACCAGCCGACGGCACCGGGGAGAGGAAAGAAATCGCTGTGAAGGGAGACACTACCGTGGCCCTGCTGAAGAACCTCCAGCCTGCTACTGAATATGAGCTGTTTGTCAGTGCCCGGTACACCTCTGGGCTGGGAGACCCCCTCCTGGGTACAGGCACCACCCTGGAAGGTACAGTAACAACTCTCTTGTGTCTGTCTTTATTATGACTGTCTGCTCTTTGGCTGCTTTGAAGCATGGGGTTGTGTTTCTTTGACAGCTGATGTGAGAGAAAGTGTGAAAATTTGCTTGAGGCCATCTTCAAAGTGAGTGTCTAGACTGGCCATCTCTGTGCACTGTGTACTGCATTGTGTCCTGCTCCACCGAGTGGCGCAGTGGTCTAAGGCACTGCATCGCAGTGCTAGCTGTGCCACTAGAGATCCTGGTTCGAATCCAGGCTCTGTCGTAGCCGGCCACGACCGGGAGACCCATGGGGCGGCGCACAATTGGCCCAGCGTCGTCCAGGGTAGGGGAGGGAATGGCCGGCAGGGATGTAGAGCATGGCGTTTGCAATGCCAGGGTTGTGGGTTCAATTCCCACGGGGGGCCAGTATGAAAAAATAAAAATAAAAGATAATGTAAGTCGCTCTGGATAAGAGCGTCTGCTAAATGACTAAAATGTAAATGTAAATGTAATTGTGTATGCCTCTGTTTCTTAACCTTCCATTTTTTGTAAAGGGATAAAAAAAAGAAAATGTATTGTCTTTGTTTTCGGAATACGATGTAAAAGTCTTTAGAAAAACATACTGCCCTAGAAATCCTTCCTAGATATCTCAGGATACCTCTTCTCTGACTCAGTGTATAAGGGAAACTGTGCAAAAGCTGGAATGTGGCACAGACAGACTGTAGGTTAGCTCTGCTTTACCGCCCATGAAGCTGGGAGAGATGGAAATGAGTGGGTGTACTCTCGTAAACCTAAAAAAGCTCCTGGAACAGCCAACACATGCCATGCTAGGCTAGCTCATGCAGTTTTATACACTCCGGGGACATATGGTTTATTAGAGATTATTTTATGTGGCACATGGGGAGTTGTATAATTTTTTTTCGATATCACTTTTAACGATTTGTAAACCATTTGGGTAAGCAATGCTGCTGATCATAGATGGCTAACTCTGCTATTCTTCTAACTAAGATCCTCAACCATAGACCTTGATGTATACGTAGGCCTACGTCTTCAATATTATAAACAGCAACATTAGCCAAAATGTACCAAACCCTTTGAAGACTATACCACTCTCTCTAACCCTAGGGGATAGTGTTAGAAAGCTGACCATTAGTCAGGACTGACATGCAGTGAATTAGTGTGAGGAACATCTGTTAATGCTATATAGGCTTTTCTAGCTCTGCCTAGAGGAGAACCTTCAGACCAGCAGGAGGTTATGGTCCGGGTCACGCTGGCTTGGTCCCCAGGGTGCCCAACAACCACAAAGACCACTGTATCTCACAAGCCAGAACTAACATGCCCCCACAATCCATTCTGCTCGTGGCAGCCCAATCACTGGTCTCTGGATAGCTTTATGACATTAGTGGAGTTCCATTCTGATCAGGGTGGTCTAGGAGAGAAAGCTCTGGGGAGGGGAGGCCCAACTAGGACTGGGGTCAGGCACTCAGGAGGCTGTATGTGCTGTGCTTTAGTTTGGTTTGGGGGTCAGCAGTATGTTGTGTTTGAACTAGAGATCAATAGTCCTTGTCACTGGACGATCACTCGAATGGAAATGAATTGAGGGCAGAGAGGTTTTTGTTGTTGTTGTACAGATAGAACTTCAACCCTAACTGGCTCTGAGCAAGAGTGTCACCCTCTCTCATTCAGAGGCCAAGTTGAATGCAGGTAGTGGATGCCAAATGGTCTCTCCTCTCAAAAGCAGTTTGAGCCCACGATACATCAAAGCTTATATCACTCATCATGACCAAAGAATGAGAGTCCTTGTCTCTCAATGTCCTTGTTGTCTCTCCTACATAAATGTCACTAATGACATCATTTCTAGCAGATCAAATGGCTTCTACACAAGAAAATATCAGAAGCATTATCCTACACTTGAGGACAATGGAGAGGTATCCTGCTATGGAGTATCATGTAGCTATTTTCAGTTCACAAGCTGAATGGTGCACATTCATTCTTTCTCCATGGGACTCTCCTGCCTGGGGCTACCTTCTCCCCCTTCTTTGACAACAAAGCTGACCTCCTTTGTCCACCTCTGGACCTCCAGCCCGGGCATGGTCAGAAGGTCAGAAGTCGGATGCTGAGTTTCAGTTATGCTGACTCATTAGCCCTAGCCTCCCACCAGAATAGAACCAGTGTCTGGACCCCTTTCTGTGCTCCATGACAAAGCATTTGTTCTGGTTGCAGCAGCAAAGCTTGACGTCAGAACAACAGGCCAACACTGATCTCATTGTTTAGGGTGACACAGACTTCCAGTCATCGACCGTGTGAGTTAGCCTATGTAGGCAGACCTGGGGAACCCGGAGACACAGTCAAGCTGTGTGGTAGAGAATGCCAACAGGCTGATGGAGACAATAGCACCCCCTGTGGCAAGCTTACTGTATGTTGAGCCTACTACTTCCTGATTCCTGACCACTAAAGATTGGCTTGATTAATGGAGTCAACTCTGGCCCCGAATCATGGAAAGTGGGGGCTGAGTAATTGCTGAGATTCATATTCCAAATGTGAGCCTTTAGAAAACAAAATGGTGAGAATATGTATTAAAGCGGGGAGTCTTTCTCACATGTGTTAGGTTTTACCTAGGAGGTACTGTACTTCAAAGCTGTGAGCGGTCGAGTGCTGGCTGGTTCCTCCAGCAGATAACTGACTGTCCACTTCCTCCCAGGCCAGGGAGGGGCCCAAAGAACATGGAAAGAGAAAGAGCAGAGAGAACATACGCCACACGAAACCCAGTTTGAAGAACAAAGAATAAATAAACGTTTACTTCTGTTTTGGGTCGGTGGGCAAAAATATGTTTTCGATAAAACTCTTAAAGGCCCAGGGCAATCAAATCGTGATTTTCCTGTATTTATATATATTTCCACCCTATGATGTTGGAATAATACTGTGAAATTGTGAACATTATCATAATGTTTTGGCCTGCCTGGTGACATCCCCAGGTGCTAAATTAGTTAATAAACCTCTGTGCCAATAACAGCTAGTTTAACATGTTCCTGTCCCCATTCAGACCACTCCCAGACAGTCCTAGCTAAATTCTTGCTTGAGAAATTGCTCTTTGCTAAGAAGCTTAATTTTTTAAACAATTTTAATTGAAAACAATCACACTAAGGTACTTAATTGCTACCCAGAAGTTATTTGATATTGATATAAAAACTGCTGCATTGGACCTTTAAAGTGGGGTGAAACGGCTGCCTGAAATTTCAGCCTGTTGTGGTGGGATAGAGTTTTTTTTTGTCCTGCCTGGTGCATTGGACATTTGAAGAGCAGTTTGGTGTACATATCACTAGCTACACTATATACATTGAGCTCCAAAAGTATTGGGTCAGTGACACATTTTTTGTTTTGTGCAGAATAATGATGACTGAGAAAGTTACAGATGCATGAATATAAGACATGCTAACCTCTCACCATTACAATAACAGGGGAGGTTAGCGTTTTTGGGGGGTATGATATTTGTGCGTATTTGTGCGTCTCTCATCATTATTCATGATTCATTCAGGACTATCCGTAATCATGGTAGCATCCATATTAATGTAGAAGTGTTTAGAAACATATTATTTTCTTATTTACAATAAAAGTGACTCAAAAATGACACAATTCATTATTTACTGTTAATTTCTGTTTGGGCACAAAATAATCTGAAACACAACCAAAACAAACAGCAAATGCATCCAACAAGTTTTTACAGTCACAAGCTTAATGTAATCATTGGTCCCATAAAATTACAATACCCTCAAATTAAAGCTGACAGTCTTCACGTTAACCTTATCATAATTGTATCATTTCAAAAGTGCTTGAGTACAGAGCCAAAACAATAAAAATGTGTCACTGTCCCAATACTTTTGGAGCTCACTGTATGCTGTACAAGCTGCAAAGCACAGTCATGAAAGGACATAGCTAGCTGGTGTGCAAGTAGCTGGAGACAATAATGTGCAATGCATTTGCACAGCTAATGTTGAGTGACTGTTTGTCTGAGGGCATAAGAGTTGAGGTTTTCAGTAGTAAGCATTTCATGGGCCACAGAGTGTGGCGTGAAACCAGGTGAATTCATAGCCGCTTGAGTTAATTTCCTTTCATGACGATCCCTTTGGAAACTGGGCTCCTGGCGGGGCGGTGATTTGCCAGGCTCAGTGTCGCAGCGGAGCCAGTAGCAGCTGTTTTTCCTCCAGACTGAAGGTCCTTCTAGGCAAAAGGGCAGAGCAGTGCATCCCTCACATGCTGGTGAACCCTGTGTCTTTACCGTGGTCTGGCCTACACAGAGCCTAGGTGGACCAGGCTCCAGGGCAGTTAAATGAAGGAACTGCAAATGGGAGTGCCAGGCCTAAAATGGCACTTGGGAGGAATAGTGGGTTTGATGGATTCTCTTTAGACCAGCCATCTGGAAAGAGCTGTTCTCAAATCAGACTGAACTAAACTGCTGATCTGTAAATTGAAGTGAGTTTCTCCATTTCCAATGGCATTTCTTCTTTACCTGTGTGCTCAAGAAGTAGAACAGTCTGTAGGCTGTTTGTTGGACAAAAAAGTATGTACTGTATGAATGCAGTCAATGCATGCTATTATGTTACATTGATAAGAGCGCTATTTGTGTCCACATGTGAGCGGAGAGGGTGAGCATTTTATATACTTTTCAGAGCATCTGACTCATCCTCTTGACACATTGATGTTTGTCCAATTCAAGCCTAAACTCACAAGCCTTTTGGCATTCAATATGAATGTTAGGTACATCAACGAACATGCCTTGGTTACATGAAGAGCCTGGCTGGTCTACTCCTATACATCAGTTAGTGAAGTATACAGATTAGGCTCTGTGTCTCAGTGATCTAGTGAAGACCCATTGTGTTTGTCAGATCTGTTTCCTTATTTGGCTATTGGAGATTTGGGAGATTATGGTGACAACTGTTTAGCCAATTTGCTGATGAATATGTGCTCTAATTCATCCTTGGTTGATAGCTCCTTCCTCAGTACTTCCTTAATGCTTTTCTTTGATTCGCTACACAGAGGCTAGGCCCAATTATCTAGTTACAAATCTAAGTTCTGCTTGCAATTGTTGGTTTGCAAGTTTAGCTAATTCCAACTGATTAAACTTTGATGATGAACTCAAAATGGCAGCAGCTAGCTCTCTGTGTTCCATGTGTTTCATGTGTGTACTTTAGTGCTTGGTCAGAAAGGGCCCTATGACTGTGCTGTTCTCATAGTACTGAGGAAAAGTGGGCCATTGTCTGCAGTGATTATCGTGTGATCCGGTCCCTCTTGTGCAGCAGCACAGCCGGGAAAGTCAGTGGCCTCTCTCCTTAACGCTTGGCAGCAGCTCGCTGCACCCTGGATAGAGAGGACTTGGCATTTAGAGGGGCCACAGCATATTATCCTAGACAGGCCCTCCAAAATCTGGAATTCTCCATTCATTCCTTGTTGAATTCATTACTCCTCAGATCTGGAGCAGCTCTTTCTCTCTCTGTGCAACCCAAACTGCCTGGTTGGTGAATGGTGGTTGAATAGTGAACCCTGGATTATTCATTTAGATTGATGACGTTTGATAACACAGAGAATCATGCTAGCTTTACAGCCAAACCAGTCACTTTACTGGCACACATGAACTACCTGATATCTGATCTGGTATCTCTAGCTGTTCCCTCATTAGCAGTGTTAGGTCCAGGCTGTGTGCAGGCTGTATGTGGGTAAAAGCAACAGCCCTGTCCACTCCTGTCCTGTCCTGAGGTTGTGTGGGAGGGAGATGTGAGGTGGTCTCTCCCCCCGTGGTGAGTGAAACTTGTCTGCGCAGCCAGGCTGTGTTGAGAGAGCCGATCTCAATAGGGGCGCCCCAAACAGCCAAAGATCTGTTGGCAGACTACAGCTAACGCCACCGCAAATCCTTCTCCCGTAACTCAGCATCTGCCACTTCCCTCCCCCACCCACCCCAATAGTCTCTCAGGAAAGAGAGCGATGTAGAGAGACAGAGAGAGAGAGAGAGCAACATCTGCAATTGTAGCAAACACACTTCAATGGATCAAGTTTCTTCTGTTTCAATGGAAAATGAAAGTGCTGCTAGAGGCTCTGAGCTGAGCTGAGGGCTGGAATTGGGTGATTGGTTTTGCAGAGCTTTTTCCAAACCCTCAGATTATGAACAAAGTATATCACTGGTTTTAAAAACACCCTGAGGGTTAAACAGAGACAGATCAATGATTGTTGGTGGTTTATCGCTATACCAGCTAATTTCTCCTGCTCAATAGAACACACTCCCCCAGACTGCATCTGTCTGCCTGGAAATCACCAGCACCCAGATGCAGACAAACAACCATATCAACTAGCACACCTGACACAAACTCTCTTCTGGTCCATTTGTCAAAGACTCTATGCACTAACACTGATATGTGAGATGATGTTTCCCAGCGTCCTAAGGTTATAACTCTGTCCCTTTTCCCCACACAGTCCTTGGCTCCCCTAAAGACCTGGTCACCAAAGACGTCACAGACACCAGCTTCGCTGTCTCTTGGACGGCGGCGCTCGGTAACGTGCGCTCCTACCGGTTGAAGTGGAAGTCGCTGTACACGGAGGAGACAGGGGAGAAGTCCGTCCCCGGGGACGTAACGACCACTATGCTGGAGGGGCTCACTCCGGAGACGCGCTACCAGGTCTCTGTGTACGCAGCCTACGGCAGGGGAGAGGGGGAGCCGCTCGTGGGTGCTGAGACCACAGATGGTAAGTCACTCCCTAATGTTTCCACCATACACACACTTACTGTGGGACCTCTCTCTCTGTCTCTCTGTGTCTCTCTCCCCTTCTCTGTCTCTCTGTCTCATCCTTTCTCTCTCTCTCTCTCTCTCTCTCTCTCTCTCTCTCTCTCTCTCTCGCTCTCTCTCGCTCTCTCTCTCTCTCTCTCTCTCGCTCTGCCTCTGTAGCTCTCCCTCTCTCTTTCTGCCTGAGAAGATGCATTTCTTGGTTTCTCGTCCCCAGGTTACCTCAGAGCTGGAAAACATATATAGATGTAGGATATAAAAATACCCCATGACCGCAGTGTGTTATATCTACAGTGCCTTCAGAAAGTATTCATACCCCTTGACTTATTCCACATTTTGTTGTTACAGCCTGAATTCAAAATGGATTGAATCAAAAAAAAATATCTCACCCATCTACACACAATACCCCATAATGACAGTGAAACATGTTTTTAGAAATGTGTACAAATGTATTACAATTTAAATACAGAAATATCTAATTTACATATGTATTCAAACCCCTGAGTCAATACTGTGTAGAAACACCTTTGCGCATTATTCTTGAAAAAAATATTCAAGCTCTGTCAAATTGGTTGTTGATCATTGCTAGACAACCATAACATGATGCAGCCACCACTATGCTTGAAAATATGGAGAGGGGTACTCAGTTATGTGTTGAATTGGATTTGCCCCAAACATAACAACACTTCTTTGTATTCAGGACAAAAATGTATTTGCCATATTTTTTGCAGGATGCATGTTTTGGAGTACTCTGTCATTTAGGTTAGTGCTGTGGAGTAGTGTAATTAAAATGTTGTTGATCCATCCTCAGTTTTCTCCTATCACAGCCATTAAACTCTGTCACCATTGGCCTCATGGTGAAATCCCTGAGTGGTTTCCCTCCTCTCCGGCAAGTGAGTTAGGAAGGACACCTGTATCTTTGTAGTGATTGGGTGTATTGGTACACCATCCAAAGTGTAATTAATAACTTCACCATGCTCAAAGGTTATTCAATATATATTTTTTAATGTTTTACCCATCTACCAATAGGTGACCACCTTTGCGAGGCATTGGATAACCTCCCTGGTCTTTGTGATTGAATCTGTGTTTGAAATTCACTGTTCGACTGAGGGACCTTACAGATAATTGGATGTGTGAGGTACAGAGATGAGGTAGTCATTCAAAAATCATGTTAAAAACTATTGTTGCACACAGAGTGAGTCCATGAAACTTATTATGTGACTTGTTAAGCACATTTTTACTCCTGAACTTATTTAGGCTTGCCATAACAAAGGGGTTGAATACTTATTGACTCAAGAAATTTTTACAATTCATTTGTAAAAATTTCGAAAAATGTAATACTACTTTGACATTATGGGGTATTGTGTGTAGGCCAATGACAAAAAAATCTAAATGTAATACGTTTTAAATTCAGGCTGTAACACAACAAAATGTGGAAAAAGTCAAGGTGTGTGAATGCTTTCTGAAGGCACTGTGGGTCTTTATATAACTGGAATGAGCCTAAGTAGAGCACCTGGGACGAAGACGAGGGGCAGAGAGGGTCATATTTGTCTGATGACAAAAAGGAGCGTGTCAAGATAGCTTCGGTCCTTGAAGAGATTGGATTTGGGTACAGACCTTATTTCCGTAAATAAACCATGAATGCATAGCTTTCATAGCCCATATAATCCACAAATAGAACCTAGGCATGGTAAGAAAAAACATAAAATTACTTCAATCCTATCAGCCTTCAAAAGGAGTGACACAGGCTTTAGAGTTATGCAGGAAACCAAACTTGAGCCCCATTCTTGGGCGTGATGTGGAAAAAGTGAGATACGGTGACTGTTACGGCTCATTCTTTGAGCTTGCAGATAACGTCACCGCTTCTGGCATTCACCTGATCCATCTAAAAGGCCACTGAAATGCTTTTGTAATCAGGGTGACGACGTGTGTGTGTGTGTGTGTCAGTGTGTCGGTGTGTGCTTGTGCAAGCATGTGTATTACATAGTATATGGCCATGACGCAATACGCCACACCTGCTACCAGTTATCAGGGGAGATTGTGGATTCAGATAGACATGGGAGTAGACAGTGCTTCCCCTCTCCTCGAATACAGCGACCAACTGAAATGAGAAAAGCACATTGACGGAAACTCGCCCCGATTGGGGAATTTATCCACTGGTTAGCGAGACAAAATGTGCTAATGGGAAACTTTGTCGCTCCATCGTTTTGTTTATTGATTCTGGCAAGCGGGACTGGTGCAATTTACACCAAAAACAACCTTGAGGCACCTCTAGAGGCTTGTATGGTTTATATCTGTGGTCACTTCGCCCTGCGGGTTCCTCCACCAGAACCACAAGCCCTCTCTCTGTCTGTGCTAACAGGACGGGTCCATTTGGGTTGAGCCACACACTGAAAACCTGGACAGACTGCTTTTTTCCATCCATAAAACTTCTCCCTCTGAAGTCTAGCTGTTTGAATATTTTCCTGAGCTCGTTAAGGGTTTTAACAATTCACACTTGTCCTTCCTGCACCAAAAACACATTGGGGTCATAGTATGGAAATCTGCACAGTGGGTCTGGTCAGTGTATGGTCTGACTGGGAAATAAAACAACGTTTGGGTGGATTTGTGTTCACAAGCATATGAAAACTGAACCAATTCCTCAGTAAAAAATCTCAGAGGTAACCAAACATGTCAATGTTTAGATTGCCCACAAGACGTTATGGCTTTGGACCATTTGGAAATGTAGGCAGCAATTTGGCATGCATTTCAATTCTGCTCTCTGCTCAAACTCACATCATGATACCGATATCAATACATCAAGCATTGGTGTTTAATTTTCTTTCTTTTGTGCTCTCAGTGTCTGCAGCCGGAAAAGTTGTGGTGGTTTCTGAGGAGACGGAGAAGAGCATGAAGGTGACTTGGAAGCCTGCACCCGGGAATGTTGTCAACTACCGGGTGACATACAAGCCAGCGTCAGGAGGGCGACAGCTGGCCGCCAAGGTGCCCGGTGGTACCACCAACACCATCCTGAGACGCTTGACGCCCATGACCACCTATGACATCACAGTGCTGCCTGTGTACAAGCAGGGAGAAGGAAAAGCAAGGCAAGGAGTAGGAACCACACGTACGTTGGTCTATCATTAACCACAACTGAACTGTGCTCTGTGCTGCTTGCGTTAGCTTAGGGGAGTCCTGTACAGTAGCTAGTCGCTGGTGGGTTATGCAGACTCGTATCATGTACTCATCATCAATCATCATCAACTACTAAATCTAGGATAGGAGAAAATGGGTCTCCAAAGAGGCCGCTAAGAACTAGCATTTTTCCTGTAATAACCTAATGTTTAGCCTAACGTTTAGCCTAATTTTACTTCCACTTTATAGTCATCTGCTTGTATCAAATCATCATGTTCTCTGTTCCAGTGTCACCGTACAAAGCCCCTAGAAACTTGCAGACCTCCGAGCCCGCTAGGACCAGTTTCAGAGTGACCTGGGACCACGCTCCAGGGGAAGTCAAGGGCTACAAAGTCACCTTCCACCCCATTGGAAATGATATAGACCTGGGAGAGCTGCTGGTCGGACCCTATGACAACACTGTGGTTCTGGAGGAGCTCAGGTAGGTCTATCCTTGGAATATAAAGTATATCAGATGGACTGTCACAGTTACTGTATTGCCTTGCAAAGAAAGTTTGACTATGCTGCTTTTTCATTAGTTCACCAATTTGTTGTGTCCATCTATCAGTAATTTCTCTCAGACAAACTGACAAACTTGTCGAGATGAATGAAGTGTAACTGGTTTAGGTTTTTCACACAGGGCTGGTACCAAGTACACAGTGAGTGTGTTTGGGATGTTCGAGGGGGGAGAGAGCCAGCCATTGGCTGGTGAGGAGAAGACCACTCTCTCTGATGCCCCTGAACCACCACTGTATGATGGAGGTAATGCCTCCTCTCAAACTCCTCCTTCATGATTTATCATATAGCCAGCAACACCAGCCACACAGCACTATTACACAGGAGACTACACTGTAAAGTACTGTATTCACCTTATGCCCAGCCAATCAACAGGCACGGCAGCCATGTTGAAAAGTAAAAGGTCATGCATAAGGTGAATATTAGTCTGTAGGAATTGTATTAACAAGCTATGATCCATTTTGGAGAGGCAAAATTGAAACAACACATTTTCCTCAAAGAACTCAACAGCCCTACCCGCTGGGCACACTCTGGTTGAATCAACGTTGTTTCACCGTAATTTGTCAATGTATTGTGACGTGGAATTAATGTGGAAAATACATTGGGTTTGAAAAAAGTAATCAACCAGTAGTGTTTTCATCTCATTTCAACCAGTGTCGTAAACATTGAAATTAGGGTAAAACGTTGACAAATTACATTGAAACAATGTTGATTCAACCACTGTGTGCCCAGTGGGTAAAGCTTTTTTAATCTCCCTCATCATACTTAAGACCTTATACAGTACATATATTATATGTTGTGTCTTCTGCGGCCATAGCCGAAGTGTGGGACATATATCACATTGTCCATTTTTCATTAGGAAAATCCGTTATAATCCCTCTCCCCATAAAAACAGATGAGTTGCCCTAAATGACTTACCTCAAAGCTAATTGTCTCACCAAATAACAGATGTAATGACTATTCCATCTGTTGGCTGCTCGCTTTTTCAGCATTTCGTCACTTTGGGTTCCTTTTTATTTTTCTGGATCCAGCAGCAGCTAAGAGCAGCAGAATTGACAAAAAATATAATCTGTTTGCAATTATAAATGTTTTACAACCTCATGGGTGTGAGCACGCAGCATGACACATGGGCAGTGAGTGTGAGGAGAGGAAAGAGAGAGAGGAAAATGTTATGTGTATTAAGGAAGGCTCCAGAGAGGCCAGTCCCGACCCTCAGCTGCCTGGAAGGCCTCCTCTAATAGGGAGCAGATACAGTGACAAGACCCTGTCAGTCAAGCGCCCACAATAATATAATTTAATAAAGGAGGCAGAAAACCCCTTCTCCACCCCATTACCCCCTCCTCCTCACCCAGTACTCCTCAATTTAATCCCCCCCATCCCGATGCTGGAGGAGGACTGAGAGTAAGAGGGGATTGGGTGCACTAAAAGAGACTAAAGTCATCCGTACATCAGCCTCCCTCTCCTTTGAAGATATTTTACAACAGACAGTAATGAACAGTTTTATCTCCTTGTTTCTACTTTTAAAGTTTGTATTTTTCTTCCTGTAAATGAAAGATAACCTTTTCTTGACTGACGGATACGTATGTGCTATAATGCACAAGTTGTAAACCTAACGTTGAATTTATAGTGCCATTAACAGGGACTGGATGTGAATTTATTAATTTGGTGAAATGCGTATTGCAGTCAAAGGACAAACATCTGGCATGGCCAATAAATCTTCCCCTGTTGTCTCCGTCCGATAGCCTTAGATAATTTTCTTTATTACGACTAACTAAAACAGACTGTAGTCTGAACGACACATGGTTCAGCCACTCTAGGACCCTCACACTCCGCAGGACATCTGTTTATCTGTGGGTCGCATGGGGATAGAAAGAGAAGTCTGTAAATCAAACATGTAACAGTGGCAGATTGCGCAATGTCTGTGTCTTGCTGCCGTGCATCTGCGGTCTTAACAGACTGCGGACAAGGCCTTCTTCTCATCATGCAGGTGTCCGGAAAACAGTGAAAGCTGTGCCAGTGAGGAATGCACAGTAACTCTCACGAAGGAGACACTCGTATATCATATCAGGAGGGCTTCTTTTTGTTCCCCGGGAGAGTCTGAGGAGTGGCCAGAGAAGAACACTACTCAGAGAGAGATCAACTTGGAAGAAAAGAAGACAACAATTATATCGACACCTGGAAATGAAATGTGTGATGATGAAAATAGCTCGTAACCCTGAAAATGGATAGAAAGTGTTTTTACTGCTTGCTTGTAAAGAGACAGATAGAGATGTGTTTGTTTTCTGTTTGGGAAGTCTGTGTGATGTACTGTGAATCCATGTCAATAATGTCATGTCAATGACCTCTTTTCTTTCCTACTCCTTCACCTCCCTTCTCACTCATGCATTTTTGAACACCTCTGCCCTCATAACTTCACCTGTGTTATACCTGAAACTGCATTATAATAACTAGTGCCCCATCACTGTTCTGTACTGTCTCTCTGAGCTGTAACCTCTGACCTCTCAGATGTGGTGTGTAAGACCAAAGCCCGGGCTGATATAGTCCTGCTGGTCGATGGCTCCTGGAGTATCGGCCGTCTGAACTTTAAGACCATCCGCTCCTTCATCTCTCGCATGGTGGGAGTCTTCGACATCAGCCCTGACAGGGTTCAGATCGGTAGGTTAAACCTGTCTCACAGGACATGTACATTCCTGCTACCTGCTGCAGATAACACTATTGTGTCTCCACTCTTTAGTCGTTCGCTAGGCATTACCATGTTGGATGGTTATACAAGGCATCTGATCTGGCAGAGGCTCTGTGTGTGTGTGTGTTTCTCTTAGGTCTGGCCCAGTACAGTGGTGATCCTAAGACTGAGTGGCACCTGAATGCCTACAGGACCAGGACTTCACTGCTGGAGGCTGTAGCCAACCTGCCCTACAAAGGAGGCAACACCCTTACTGGTACTGTACTCAATCTACAACCACAACCTCAATTCAGAGACTGTTGTATACCGTTAGTCCCATTTAAAGCTCTATCATGTTCAAGCTTCTATTGGCTATTTAGACAGCTACTGAAATAAGTTCCAGTTCATAAACTTCACAATGAAAACTGTGCCACTGTTTTGGTTCTTGGCAGTTGAGCTGTTTGTGTGATAGCCAGAGGGTGAAGGAAACTGAATTGTATGTTCCATTATGCGAATAAAACTGAGTTGTTCCTAATAGGCTCACAATGTATTTTATCATAATCTCCTTGCTCTTTAGCTGCCGTGTTGGAAAGGCCTCAGAGAAATTATTAATCCATATAATCAGTGTGAATAATAGTTTCTGCCCTCGTTGCAGGTCTCGCTTTAAACTACATCCTCCAGAACAATTTCAAGGAAAATGTTGGGATGAGACCCAACGCTCGTAAGATCGGAGTGCTGGTCACTGATGGCAAGTCTCAGGATGACATCATTGCCAACTCCCAGAACCTGCGTGACCAGGGCATTGAGCTGTATGCCATTGGTGAGTCTCTGCCATCATCACTAGGCAGTTTCACATATTTTGACTAGATAGGACATCTGAAGCTCCTTGTATCTATCTCAACTTGAATAATGGCAGTTATCTTTGTCGTCTTGAAGTAGAGTGTGAATGCTCGAGTTTCCCAGGATAATTCCTTACACACCTTTGCCATACGCCACTTATCTTCCTCATTAACAGTGTCTGTAATGTATCCTCAACCTGCTCTGAGGGGATAACTGACTTGATGTCCTGTTTGACTCCTCCTAGGTGTGAAGAACGCTGATGAGAATGAGCTGAGGTCCATCGCCACTGACCCGGATGAGATCCACATGTACAACGTGGCTGACTTCTCCTTCCTGCTGGACATAGTGGACGACCTGACCAACAACCTCTGTAACAGCGTCAAGGGACCAGGTACATTCAGGCTGGCATTACTGTACATTCCCTGCCGTGACAGTAAAGGTGGCAGTCTAAATGGGCTATGTAGGTTATCCCTCAGTCTTATTTCTAATGCCTTCAAGGCTCATATTCACAGTTTCTCAGAATAAAAGTGCTAATCCAGGATCAGTTTTGCCTTTGAAATCGTAATGAATAACGGGGGGACCTGGGCCCGTATTCTTAAAGCATCCCAGAGTAGTAGTGCTGATCTAGGATCTGTCCATATAATATTATTCATTATGATCTAAAAGGCAAAACTGATCCCAGATCAGCACACTTACTTTGAGACTCTTTGTGAATACGGGTGATGATCTTTACAGCCAGCCGTGCTGTGTGAGGCTGTAGTTATGTAAACAGGGTTTAGTTCATGGCTAGGGGAGACCCTCAGTAGAGTAGCATGTCTGGTGCACCAGGGGAGCCAATACAAGGAGCTGAACGCCAGCCAACCACTGGAAATAATTTAGAATCTAAAGCCCTCTTATCCCTGCTGATAGTTTATTTTTTCCTCTCTAAAATGAGAAATAGTCTGCACCTTAATCAAATTCAAAAGCTGTGACTGAATACTATGAAAGATACGTTTTTTTAGAAAAGGCTTAGACTGTCTGTATGTCTGTCTACTGGATTTTCTGCTAGGGAGCTGTTTCCAAACCCGTGAAAGATGCAATGACATACTTAGGGTTGATTTGACCCCCCCCTTTTTCCTGATAGGTGGTGGCCCCCAGGCGCCCACTGACCTGGTGACCTCGGAGGTGACCCACTACTCGTTCCGTGCCAGCTGGACAGGCCCTGAAGGTCCAGTGGAGAAGTACCGTGTGGAGTACATGACCTTGTCTGAACGCCCTCAGAAGGTTAGTACTCCTAACCTCCACACGACCGGTAACCACAACCAACCCCAATCTCCGCTGTCAATCCCTCTCTATCAGCCCCCCAAACCCCTCTGTCACTCCCACCCTGGGCCTGAGGATGGAAGCAAGTTGTAGTAAAGCCTATGTTCTGTGACTTACTTGGCTAAATAAAGATTGAAGAGATTACATTAGAATTCATCCTTACCCAACACCTACCCCACATGTAGCTTTGAGGACATATGGGCAGTCTTATAGGAAGTATTTCTCATTATCCTGGGTTTAGTTCTTTGATATGCCAGAGACTTGAAGGAAACCCCAGAAACGTCCTCAAGCTTGTGTTGGCTGTTCAGTGTGAGGGTGTTTGGTAAAATGGAGTTGACAGAGGGTAAGACCAGAGAAAATATAAGGCTTTCAATTTAGAGTACTAGTAGCAATAAAGATTTGTTTTTCTTATTGTAATATCCCTTTGACTGCAGGGTATTGGCTCTAGAGTACTAGAATAGGGAAGGCTAGCTGCTAGATCCACTTCCAACTCCTTGGACTCCAATTTAATTTATAAAGTGTTTGTTTTAGTCCAGCTCTCATGGTTTAGTGAGGCAGTGGTCTAGTATGTGATCGAAGTTGTTTTTGTGTTTGACTCTTATAAATAGAAACGCACACTGGGTTGAAACCAGTCAGAGTTCTACAACTTAATTTGTGGTTCAATTGAAACCAGATGCATCAACACAAAAAACACTGATAGCTGCAGTTTGTTGTATTGTTTGTCTTATTTGTCCGCCAACAGAAACAAACCATTCACATGCATGTGAATGGATTACTTAAAATAGACATTCCGGATTACTTAAAATAGACATTCAAAGTAATTCTCCATCCTCATACTGTATTCGCCTGGTTCATGTGTACTCTTGTTGGCTGTAGATGTTTGTTGATGGCTCAGTGACCACAGCCATCCTGCCCAACCTGAACCCACTGACTGAGTATCTGGTCAACGTCTACTCTGTCATCGGAGAGGAGAGCAGCGACCCACTGAAGGGGACTGAAACCACCTGTGAGTCCTAATCTGTTTTTCTGTGTTCTTCTTTGATCCACTATACCAGGGTTTCCCAAACTCGGTTCTGCCCCCCCTCCCCCCAGCACTGCACAGCTGATTCAAATAACCAACTCGTCATTGAGCTTTGATTATTTGAATCAGCTGTGTAGTGCTAGGGCAAAAAACAAAACGTGCACCCAGGGTGGGCCCCAGGACTGAGTTTGGGAAACCCTGCACTATACTGTACCTGTCCATTACTGTGCTTCAGCATACTTGTGTCCCAAACGTAATCACTATAGGATCAACTAATGAACATCTTTGGGACTGTAAAACAAACATTCTTCCATTACATTTAGCACACCACTGTGTGCATGTTCTTGTGATGCTTGTGTGGTCCCTGTTTTCAACGTTAAAGAAAGAACAAAACTGTTTGTGTTTATGACACCATATGAGGCTTAAAGATAGCATTATTATTATTATTGTAAAAAAAAAAAAAAAGATAGATATATACACTACAGGTCAAAAGTTTCAGAACACCTAAGGGTTTTTCTTTATTTTTACTATTTTCTACATTGTAGAATAATAGTGAAGACATCAAAACTATGAAATAACACATATGGAATCATGTAGTAACCAAAAAAGTGTTAAACAAATCAAAATACATTTTACATTTTAGATTCTTCAAATAGCCACCCTTTGCCTTGATGACAACTTTGCACACTCTTGGCATTCTCTCAACCAGCTTCACCTGGCATGCTTTTCCAACAGTCTTGAAGGAGTTCCCAAATATGCTGAGCACTTGTTGGCTGCTTTTCCTTCACTCTGCGGTCCCACTCATCCCAAACCATCTCAATTGGGTTGAGGTCGGGGGATTGTGGAGGCCAGGTCATCTGATGCAGCACTCCATCACTCTCCTTCTTGGTCAAATAGCCCTTACACAGCCTGGAGGTGTGTTGGGTCATTGTCCTGTTGAAAAACAAATGATAGTCCCACTAAGCCCAAACCAGATGGGATGCTGTGGTAGCCATGCTTGTTAAGTGTGCCTTGAATTCTAAATAAATCCCATACAATGTCACCAGCAAAGCACCCCCACACCATAACACCTCCTCCTCCATGTTTCACGGTGGGAAATACACATGTAGAGATCATCCGTTCACCCACACTGCGTCTCACAAAGACACGACTTGCTTGGACTCCAGACCAAAGGACACATTTCCACCGGTCTAATGTCCATTGCTCGTGTTTCTTGGCCCAAGCAAGTCTCTTCTTCTTATTGGTGTCCTTTAGTAGTGGTTTATTTGCAGCAATTCAACCATGAAGGCCTGATTCACACAGTCTGCTCTGAACAGTTGATGTTGAGATGTGTCTGTTACTTGAACTCTGTGAAGCATTTATTTGGGCTGCAATTTCTGAGGCTGGTAACTCTAATGAACTTATCCTCTGCAGCAGAGGTAACTCTAGGTCTTCCATTCCTGTGGCGGTCCTCATGAGAGCCAGATACATCATTGTGCTTGATAGTTTTTGCGAATGCACTTGAAGAAACTTTAAAAGTTCTTGAAATGTTCCGTATTGACTGACCTTCATGTCTTAAAGTAATGATGGACTGTCGTTTCTCTTTGCTTATTTGAGCTGTTTGACTTGCCATAATATGGACTTGGTGTTTTACCAAATAGGGCTATACCCCCGCTACCTTGTCGCAACACAACTGATTGGCTCAAACGCATTAAGAAGGAAATAAATTCCACAAATTAACTTTTAAGAAGGCACACCTGTTAATTGAAATGCTTTCCATGTGACTACCTCATGAAGCTGGTTGAGAGAATGCCAAGAGTGTGCAAAGCTGTCATCAAGGCAAAGGGTGGCTATTTGAAGAATCTCAAATATAAAATATACACTGCTCAAAAAAATAAAGGGAACACTTAAACAACACATCCTAGATCTGAATGAATGAAATAATCGTATTAAATGCTTTTTTCTTTACATAGCTGAATGTGCTGACAACAAAATCACACAAAAATTATCAATGGAAATCAAATGTATCAACCCATGGAGGTATGGATTTGGAGTCACCCTCAAAATTAAAGTGGAAAACCACACTACAGGCTGATCCAACTTTGATGTAATGTCCTTAAAACAAGTCAAAATGAGGCTCAGTAGTGTGTGTGGCCTCCACGTGCCTGTATGACCTCCCTACAACGCCTGGGCATGCTCCTGATGAGGTGGCGGATGGTCTCCTGAGGGATCTCCTCCCAGACCTGGACTAAAGCATCCGGCAACTCCTGGACAGTCTGTGGTGCAACGTGGCATTGGTGGATGGAGCGAGACATGATGTCCCAGATGTGCTCAATTGGATTCAGGTCTGGGGAACGGGCGGGCCAGTCCATAGCATCAATGCCTTCCTCTTGCAGGAACTGCTGACACACTCCAGCCACATGAGGTCTAGCATTGTCTTGCATTAGGAGGAACCCAGGGCCAACCGCACCAGCATATGGTCTCACAAGGGGTCTGAGGATCTCATCTCGGTACCTAATGGCAGTCAGGCTACCTCTGGCGAGCACATGTAGGGCTGTGCGGCCCCCCAAATAAATGCCACCCCACACCATGACTGACCCACCGCCAAACCGGTCATGCTGGAGGATGTTGCAGGCAGCAGAACGTTCTCCACGGCGTCACATGTGCTCAGTGTGAACCTGCTTTCATCTGTGAAGAGCACAGGGCGCCAGTGGCGAATTTGCCAATCTTGGTGTTCTCTGGCAAATGCCAAACGTCCTGCACGGTGTTGGGCTGTGAGCACAACCCCCACCTGTGGATGTCGGGTCCTCATACCACCCTCATGGAGTCTGTTTCTGACCGTTTGAGCAGACACATGCACATTTGTGGCCTGCTGGAGGTCATTTTGCAGGGCTCTGTCAGTGCTCCTCCTGCTCCTCCTTGCACAAAGGTGGAGGTAGCGGTCCTGCTGCTGGGTTGTTGCCCTCCTACGGCCTCCTCCACGTCTCCTGATGTACTGGCCTGTCTCCTGGTAGCGCCTCCATGCTCTGGACACTACGCTGACAGACACAGCAAACCTTCTTGCCACAGCTCGCATTGATGTGCCATCCTGGATGAGCTGCACTACCTGAGCCACTTGTGTGGGTTGTAGACTCTGTCTCATGCTACCACTAGAGTGAAAGCACCGCCAGCATTCAAAAGTGACCAAAACATCAGCCAGGAAGCATAGGAACTGAGAAGTGGTCTGTGGTGTCTTGCTAATTGCCTATAATTTCCACCTGTTGTCTATTCCATTTGCACAACAGCATGTGACATTTATTGTCAATCAGTGTTGTTTCCTAAGTGGACAGTTTGATTTCACAGAAGTGTGATTGACTTGGAGTTACATTGTGTTGTTTAAGTGTTCCCTTTATTTTTTTGAGCAGTGTATTTTGATTTGTTTAACATATTTTTTGGGTTACTACATGATGCCATATGTGTTATTTCATAGTTTTGATGTCTTCACTATTATTCTACAATGTAGAAAATAGTAAAAAAACTAAAACAAAAAAACACTTGAATGAGTAAGTGTTCTAAAACTTTTGACCTGTAGTGTATACAGTGGGGAGAACAAGTATTTGATACACTGCCGATTTTGCAGGTTTCCCTACTTACAAAGCATGTAGAGGTCTGTAATTTTTATCATAGGTACACTTCAACTGTGAGAGACGGAATCTAAAACAAAGATCCAGAAAATCACATTGTATGATTTTTAAGTAATTAATTTGCATTTTATTGCATGACATAAGTATTTGATACATCAGAAAAGCAGAACTTAATATTTGGTACAGAAACCTTTGTTTGCAATTACAGAGATCATACGTTTCCTGTAGGTCTTGACCAGGTTTGCACACACTGCAGCAGGGATTTTGGCCCACTCCTCCATACAGACCTTCTCCAGATCCTTCAGGTTTCGGGGCTGTCGCTGGGCAATTCAGACTTTCAGCTCCCTCCAAAGATTTTCTATTGGGTTCAGGTCTGGAGACTGGCTAGGCCACTCCAGGACCTTGAGATGCTTCTTACGGAGCCACTCCTTAGTTGCCCTGGCTGTGTGTTTCGGGTCGTTGTCATGCTGGAAGACCCAGCCACGACCCATCTTCAATGTTCTTACTGAGGGAAGGAGGTTGTTGGCCAAGATCTCGCGATACATGGCCCCATCCATCCTCCACTCAATACGGTGCAGTCGTCCTGTCCCCTTTGCAGAAAAGCATCCCCAAAGAATGATGTTTCCACCTCCATGCTTCACGGTTGGGATGGTGTTCTTGGGGTTGTACTCATCCTTCTTCTTCCTCCAAACACGGCGAGTGGAGTTTAGACCAAAAAGCTCTATTTTTTCTCATCAGACCACATGACCTTCTCCCATTCCTCCTCTGGATCATCCAGATGGTCATTGGCAAACTTCAGACGGGCCTGGACATGCGCTGGCTTGAGCAGGGGGACCTTGCGTGCGCTGCAGGATTTTAATCCATGACGGCGTAGTGTGTTACTAATGGTTTTCTTTGAGACTGTGATCCCAGCTCTCTTCTGGTCATTGACCAGGTCCTGCTGTGTAGTTCTGGGCTGATCCCTCACCTTCCTCATGATCATTGATGCCCCACAAGGTGAGATCTTGTACGGAGCCCCAGACCGAGGATGATTGACCGTCATCTTGAACTTCTTCCATTTTCTAATAATTACGCCAAAAGTTGTTGCCTTCTCACCAAGCTGCTTGCCTATTGTCCTGTAGCCCATCCCAGCCTTGTGCAGGTCTACAATTTTATCCCTGATGTCCTTACACAGCTCTCTGGTCTTGGCCATTGTGGAGAGGTTGGAGTCTGTTTGATTGAGTGTGTGGACAGGTGTCTTTTATACAGTAAACGAGTTCAAACAGGTGCAGTTAATACAGGTAATGAGTGGAGAACAGGAGGGCTTCTTAAAGAAAAATTAACAGGTCTGTGAGAGCCGGAATTCTTACTGGTTGGTAGGTGATCAAATACTTATCTCATGCAATAAAATGCAAATGAATTACTTAAAAATCATACAATGTGATTTTCTGGATTTTTGTTTTAGATTCCGTCTCTCACAGTTGAAGTGTACCTATGATAAAAATTACAAACCTCTACATCAGGGGTGTCAAACGTCCGGCCCGCGGGCCGGATCAGGCCCGCAAACGGGTTTAATCCGGCCCGCGAGATGATAAAAAATTTTCAATAAAATTAACTGCTGTTCCAATTGCGTCCACTGGATGGCGCAATAGCAATAGTGTTAAGCAAGCAAACTGTTTATACCGGGGCAGAGCAAGTAGGTCAAGCACGTGCAGCCAATGAGCTACTTTGTTTTGCCCGCGATATTTATTACGGCTTCTACTTTTAATATTATGTGCTTTGGCACCCTCATTGCCCCAATATGTCTCTGTCAAAAAAGAGAAAAGTGGACGCAGAGTGCAGAGTGTTCCAAGAAAAATGGTCATCCTATTTATTCACGGAATTGAATGGGAAAGCTGTATGTTTGGTGTGTTCAGAGCATGTTGCAGTGCTGAAAGAATATAACCTTCGTCGCCACTATGTGAGTCTTCATGCCGACAAATATGACAACTTTCAAGGACAGCGGAGATGAGAGAAGGTGAATTAACTGTTGGCGGGTCTGAAGAAACAGCAGTCTGTGTTTACTCACAGGCGAGACATCAGTGACGCTGCAGTGAAAGCTAGCTACCTCATTGCTAATGAAATCGCAGTGGCTTCAAAACCATTTAGTGAGGGTGAATTTGTAAAAACATGCATGATGAAGGCAGCGGAGATTGTGTGCCCTGAAAAGCGGCAGGCTTTTGCAAATATCAGCCTGACAAGAAACACAGTTGCAGACAGGATTTCCGATCTTTCAGTGGATTTGGACAGCCAGTTGAAGCAAAAAGTAAAGTCATTTATTGCGTTTTCGGTTGCAATTGATGAAAGCATGGACATTACAGATGTTGCACAACTGGCCATTTTCATCCGCGGAGTTGATGACACATTGACCGTCACTGAGGAGTTCGTGGAGTTGGTGCCGATGACAGATACAACGACAGCAGCTGATATTTTTACTGCACTCGTCGGCGCGCTGGACAGGGTCGGAGTGGACTGGTCCCGCGCTGTCAGCCTGGCTACAGATGGTGCGCCCTCAATGATCGGGAAAAAAGCAGGCGTTGTGACAAAGTTCAGAGAGAAAGTGCAATCTGCAAATGGAGGACGTGATTTTTTGACTTTTCACTGTATTTTGCACCAGGAGGCTTTGTGTTGCAAGTCATTAAAGATGGATAACGTCATGAAGGTGGTCATCCAAACTGTTAATTTCATCCGATCCAGAAGCCTGAATCACCGTCAGTTTGACAGCCTTCTCAGAGAGAAAGACCACATCTATGGCCTGCCATACCACACTGAGGTAAGATGGTTAAGCCGAGGTGCTGTGCTGAGGCGTTTCTTTGATTTACGAGAAGAAATTGAACAGTTCATGGAAGAAAAGGGCAAACCAGTGTTAGAATTTCATTCCGCAGAATGGATGCAGGACCTTGCATTTATGGTGGATGTTACAGAGCACCTGAATAACTTGAACAAACAGCTGCAAGGGCGCAACAAAGTTGTCACGCAGTATTATGACAGCATACGTTCTTTCAAGTTGAAGCTGTCATTGTGGGAGACGCAACTTGCCGGTGGTGATGCAGCTCACTTCCCCTGTCTGAAAAATGTGTGCGCGACCCAACATGTGGCAGACATGAAGCGGTTCAAAGATAAAATAACGGGACTGTTACGGGAGTTTGAGCAACGCTTTCAGATTTATGTTTATATGTTTTTATGTTGATGTCCTATTGTTTTTAATTTATTTGTATATTTAACCTATTCTTGACTCTGTGGTTCTTGCACTTGTTTGGGGAACAGGATTTCATTATTTTTATCTACATTTCTGCCTGAGAAATGACACCCTGATATAGTTCTGTGATCTGTGATATACTTCTGTGAATCACTGAGGCATTGTGTGTTTGTGTGTTCTTTGTCCTCAGAACTTTCAAATAACTTGAGGTGTTTTATGATTAATAGTGATGTTGTGCTTTTGGACACTGTCCTCAGGCTCCAGCTTTATGTTTATATGTTTTATGTTGATGTGCTATTGTTTTTAATTGATTTTATTTTATTTGTATATTTAACCTATTCTTGACTCTGTGGTTCTTGCACTTGTTTGGGGAACAGGATTTCATTATTTTTATCTACATTTCTGCCTGAGAAATGACACCCTGATATAGTTCTGTGATCTGTGAAACAGTTCTGTTAATCACTGAGGCATTGTGTGTTTGTGTGTTATTTTTCTTTAGAATTTTCAAATAAACTTGACGTGTTTTATGATTAATAGTGATGTTGTGCTTGTACTATTTTGGACACACTGTCCTCAGGCTCCAGCTTTATGTTGTATGTTGATATGATTTTTTAGGTCCGGCACTTGGAATAGATTTCCTCCATTGGTGACTAAAAAGACACCCCTGTACATGCTTTGTAAGTAGGAAAACCTGCAAAATCGTCAGTGTATCAAATACTTGTTCTCCCCACTGTATATCTGCGCCCACTCACTCTCTGCAGTGAGAATTAGATGTTTCTTTAACGTTGTTCTTCAGTTGTACTTTATTTGTAATCTAGAACAGAGTCATTTTATGAAGCAAGTAATTTCTCCATGAAAAGCTCCCATAAAATAACTAATTCTTTAGTTCTCACTACATGAAATCTGCATGGCTGCGTCTCACTGCGAACATGCCGTTTTGGATGGGATTGTGTGCGTGTGCATGTGTGTTTAGAATCTTACAGTGTTCACCTCTTCCTGTTCCCCTGTCCAGTGCCCCTCAGCGCGGTGAGGAAGATGACCATCTATGAGGAGCGTCCCACCACCATGAGGGTGAAGTGGGAGGAGGCAGTGGGCGCCACGGGCTACATGCTGCTCTACAGTGCCCTCAATGCCACCGAGCCCTCTGTGGATAAAGAGGTGAGAAGGCCGGGCCAGAGAGAGAGAGAGAGGAGACAGAGAAAGGGACTCCAGGCCAGACCAGCTGTGGAACTGACACAGTCAAAGTCTCCACTACACACACGAACGCACGCACACACACACACACACAGATGCTGCCAATGACCAAATATACCGGTCCCCTGTCAATGTCTCCTGACAGCATGCAGATGTCACAGAGCAGTGATGAGTTACAAAGTGAGCAGTGTTGTAACTCTCGTTTTACGGATACCGAGACGACAAAACACACAATTATTTAGACTCAGAGGGATGTGACGATTATTAGCTCATAGTGTCAAATCCAGAGGGTAAGATCGTCTGTAGTATTGGCAACACTTAGATAGTTTCAGCACACTGGACACCACCTAAGATTTGTAATCTTTGGAGACATGTTCATCTAAACTGCCTGTCTGAATGACAGTAAGCATTGTAAACTAATGTTTGTTCCGTTGTGGTCCTCCCCTGCAGATGAGAGTTGGAGAGGACATGACTGATGCCCAGCTGGTGCAGCTGATCCCCAACACGGCTTACACTCTGTCCATCATCGCCCTGCACGGAGAGTCAGCCAGCGGCCCCCTCACCGAGCAGGGAGTCACACGTACGTGCAGCAAAGAACTCCTCTACATTCACATGCATGTTCATGTTTTACTCTCAGTGCATAATGTGGAGTAAAGGACGACAGGTCCTAACTCCTACAGAGTAAATCAAGGCTCCTCACTCCCAGGTCTATGGAACTAAAGTGATTCAAGTAATAAAGTATGGAATTTAGTAATCCTCATCTTTCTGTCCCTCTGTCCCCTCCATAGTGCCCATGCCCCCTGCTGGAGAGCTGAGGGTCAGAGACGTTACCCACAGCACCCTGAAGATGAACTGGGACGCAGCACCTGGAGCCGTCCTCAAATACATCATCACCTACAAGCCTGACGAGGGAGAAGCCAAAGAGGTGAGACACAATGTCACAATACATCTGTTGGATACAGACGGCAGTGAAAGCAATACTCTGCACCCTAGATATATACTCCCCATGGGGCTGAGGTATAGGCCTAGCTACCCCTCCTACTGGTCACAGCAGAAACCAGCTCCTGTGCTTAGCCCATTCTCTGTTTATGCCATAATAAGCCATGATAGTGAACCTGGATAGAGAGCTAGCAGATTGATATTGATACTTTTGACAGATCATTTGAGGTATGACATTAGACAGCATAATGGGAAAGGCAGCTGGTGAGAGGGGTATGCAGGGGACCTCTGGGGCTTTGCTATTGGACCGGGTACCTGGTGGAAGGATCACACCACTGTCGGCAGAAGATGGGGAGAGCAGGTCCCTGAACACAGTAGGGGGCGGGGGGAGCTGGGGTTGGAATTGGGGCTGCTGGATGTTTGAGTGATAGGTGCGGACCACACCATCATGATCCGCCAGCAGCGTGGGACTTCTTATGCTTTACAGCCGAGGCCTCTGGGAGTTCTACCATGGCAGGTCTAGCGCTGGCCCTGCCCCGCATCCTGGGGTATAAATGACATGGCGGTACGCCTCGTAACTCTTCTGTCCCTCCATTGGACTTAAGAGATAAAAAAAACACATCCACACGTCTGATTGTGATGCGGTGGAGGGGAGGGGAGCGGCGGCTAACCTCATGCCCAGAAAGTGCCAGCGGTCTGGGCTAGCTGATGGATGATGATGCAGGCCTGGATTAGCAGCTCCAGCACTGTTCCGGACACTGAGAAAACAGGAAGGGCTCTTCTTCTGCACCCAGGAAAAACGTTTGCTGTGGATTTACGATCCAGAGCCCCTCGCAAAGAAATGTGTCCCAGTACAACTCTGAATGCAAAAACAATAAATCAAAAGAAAGACAGAGATCTCGGATTAAGGAACATTGGGAATGACCTCCTCTACCAAATGGCGTGATCATAAGATTCCAGAGGCATGGAAAGCAGTGGGGAAGTTATGGTGAATGGATACTACTGCTTCTACTGGGACAGTGTTTTTGTTCTGTTCATTGTTTATCTCTCTCCAGCTCTGGATGTGCTGAGGATTTATAAATTCCCTGTGAATGAAGTAAAGTTTACAGGCTGTCTTTAAGGTCGCCCAGAGTTCTCTCACAGATTCTTTGGAACTCATCATTGAGACCAGAATGAGACTTTGGAAGCCATTCAACATGACCTTGATGAGGACATTATTACTCATTATTACTAACCCTAACTCTTCATTTACAAAAAAGAAAGTAGTAATTCAGCTGTTGATACAAGCATGCTTTAAAACCTAATAACTGTGACACAGAGAAGCTTGATCTAAACAAGTATGTTTTCTTGGTCTGCAGCTTGAAGTGGGAGGAGACGTGACTGCCAAGGCCCTGGTCAACCTCATCTCTCAGACTGAGTATGACCTTGCTGTTACACCCATCTACGACGAGGGAGCTGGCAACCCCATGCTCAACACAGCCATCACAGGTACAGTACAGTTTCACAGCCTAGTACAGGGTTAACACATTGGGGTTACACTCCATGGAACTCCTACTCAGTACTATACAGTAGGTGAGGCCTGACCATGAAAAACATTAGTGATGGCATGGCAATCTCACCCATATAATTGTTCCTTTCTTCTGTCTAGATGTTGTTCCTGCTCCTAAGAACCTGCGTTTCTCTGAGGTGACCCAGACCAGCTTCAGAGCCCACTGGGACTATGGGGCCCCTGATGTGGCCCTCTACCGTATCGGCTGGACCAAGAAGGGAGAAACCAACTTCCAATATGTAAGAGCACTAGTATTACTGGTTCCCATCTTTTAATATACAAAAAAAAACCTGTCGAATGAGGCAAAACATTAGGCAACAAATGTCAATAAACCCTTACAAGCAAAACATTTGTTGGCTTTCGGTAGTTTAAAGTCTTAGTGGTGTTCCAGCTCCTTAAGGTCCATTGTGTTGTGTCTCCCAGGCCATCCTGAACAGTGATGAGACCAGTAATGTGTTGGAGAACCTAGAGCCAGACACTCTGTACGACGTGTCCGTCACCGCCATCTACTCCGACGAGTCTGAGAGTGAAGACCTGCTGGGCAGCCAGAGAACATGTAAGACAAGTCCATCATCTAATCTAATGATATCAATCAAGATACATAGTTGTAGATGCCCATCAATGCCTGATCAGATTTACTAATAAGAGCTCATTATATTTCTGTTTCTCTCGCCAGTGTCCAAGGTCATCATCACCCCTGGTAAGTTTGTTTGTTATAATCAAGCAAAATCCATACAGCACTCAGAGAGAGCATGCATTTGAATCAAATACATTCAATTTTGTTCAGCAAATTTTACACGGGTGATCACAATCCAGAAGTTAAAATGTAAAGATGATCTGTGTTGGTTGGATGTGTGTTTATGTGGTTATGTTCTTCTGTTTGTGCCCAGCCCCCACAGGCCCTCCCCAGAACCTGCAGGTGTTCAACGCCACCACCACCACTTTGACTGTGAAGTGGGACCACGCCCCTGGTCGCGTCCAGACCTACAAGATCACATACGTCCCCACCGCCGGAGGCAAGACCCAGTCGGTAAGAACCAGCCTGTAGCCACATAGCTCAGCCTAAGCCTTAGGGCATCACAGTCCCAAGCCTTTCATAGTGCTAACGCCATTGTTAAATCCTAACCATCCTCTGGATGATGAAAGGAAAAGGAACACTTTGAGGAATGATGTCCAGGGAGGCCTTTTAGAATGATAATATAAACCCATGGGAGTCTCCCACCGAAATCTCCCAAGTAAAGATGACAGGGTACATTTTAGGAGCATGTGGGGGTCAGGGACATTGACCACAGCCTCAGGGGAGAGTGTTATCAGTGAGGAAAGAGGGAGAGATGGAGGAGGGGGGAGAGATGGAATACCTGGGCTCAGCCGGGTTGTGTGTGTGTGGGTGGATGTGTGTGTCTGAGTGTGTGTGTGTGTTTATGTAACAGGACGGGAGTGTGGTACCAGGGGGGTCGTTGACCTCAGACAGTGTTTACACAATGCTGTCTGGCCTTGCTGCTGCTCCACTCTAGAGCTGGATAGTAGTTTAGTCAGACAGGCTTTTTTCATCAGGCCAGATGTTTAGGCGCTTAGAGTTTGCGTGATGTAGAGGCACACACAGAGAGAGAGAGAGATAGTAAATGGATAGAGGCAGTTTGAGACGTTTTCCCTCTCTTATCTTATCAGACTTGTTTGTAATGTATGATAGGCCAGCCATTTTGGAGTCAAGGGTAGCTAGCGTTATGTGAGTTATTTGTCCATTCAGAGTTTCCATTGCAATGTGGGATGGATGGAATGTTTAAAAAAATAATATTAGAGGAGGGGAAACCCAGTTCTGTCCAGCGGCCATCCGTCCACTGGTTGCTGTATTGATATCGCACGCTAAACGTTGAGGCATTGTTGAAAAGCTGGAAGCTAATGAGCAAAGCTCAGCCAAGTGTTTTTGGTTCACTGACAGCTTTTCAACAAGTATGGAGAGCTCAGGAGGCCGCGCTTTGTTTCATTTGTGACAACAAGTCTGTGTAGGAAATGGGAGACACGCTCCATTCTTGTGTACACAGAACATTTTCTTGGTGCCGAATAACATGACTTCCATCATACAGTTTCCCATTGCCTGCTGATAAGCGTTTTCCCCAGGCACTACAAAGCATAACTTCAAAAAGAACTAGAAAACCCACACTCACACACACAGGGTTTACTGAGTCAGCCGTCTCTGTGAGGCGATGCAACCCAGCAGTGTTCCTTTTAATACAGTGTCTCCCTGGCCAAAAACAATGCACTAAATTCACCACTCATACCTCTAAGACAACAAATCCCACTGGAGGATAGATTTACCTTGGCTCTTACAATAAGAAAGAGCAAAAATGCTCGCTGCATCCTCGGACAAAAATTTTGACAGTCTGCTATTGCTCAACTTGAATTATTTCCATCAAGTTGCTGACACTGACAGAAACTGTCAAGGGAGAGAAGCTGGAATCAGAGGCATCCACATCCAATTAGAAAATACATCTATTTTTTCCTGTATCGTCTCTTCTGAGGCCACACTGAAGAAATGATTTCATGCATTTGTAATCTGAAGGGAATATAAGAACCATTTATGGTTGATCCAAAAATTGCAAAATTAGTCAGCCCTTAGGCCCCGAGTGTGATTATTGACCAGGTGAGAACAGTCATTTTAACCTGTCTTCATCCCCCAACAGACGCAGATCGGAGGGAAGAAGAACACGGTGCTGCTTCCCAAGCTGACCCCTGACACTCCCTACTCCATCACAGTGGCAGCCATCTACGGCAGCGGGGAGAGCAAGGACATCTCTGGCAACGGAAAGACAAGTGAGTGACCTTACTGTGGCCTGTCAAAGGCCTTCATGATTACATCATGTTCCCTTTCGGCCTCTCAGCTGCCCTTCCCTCCCTCAGGGAACCGGGGTTACATTTATTACCTAGATGATCATGTTAAAGATTCCCTACATTCTGTCTTTGTAAAACATAGATTCACACCTCCACATGCATTTTAACATCAGAACCTCAGGGTTCTTTTTCAACATAGTATGAATCCTATGGCCTCTCTTCTCTCTCTCCAGAGCCTCTAGGTGGAGTGAGAAACCTCCAGGTCACTGACCCCACCACCAGCACCCTGAACATCCAATGGGAGGCTGCCGAGGGCAACGTCCGCCAGTACAAGATCTACTATGTACCAGCTGCTGGAGGAGCTGAGGATGTGGTAGGCTGGGCCACCTCTAACCAATCACTACTGAATCTCACTATGGAATGCACACACATCCGTTATCAAATCCATTATCTACTGCTGAAAGAATACTCACACACTGATACACGGATACTTGGCATATTCACTCAGACAGTCAAACACACGTGTACAAATACTGTTCCTTTACCAGAAGTTTTATATCAGATCAGCTCTGTGTAGCTAGCATGACTGTTGTGTGGGTATGTGTATTTACAGTCCCAGGTCTCTGGTAGCACCACCAGCACTGTGCTGAGGAACCTGATGTCTGACACCCTCTACACCGTCACTGTGGTCCCTGTCTACCCCCCTGGAGAGGGCAAACGCATGTCTGAGAACGGCAAGACACGTGAGTCCACGTACAGGTTTACTGTTAGGATGGTTAATGTTATGTAGTACAGCTTCAACAACCATTTTCTCATTGTAGTTGTCATGATATACCCTGGCCACTCTGGAATGTAATGAAGAACCTGTGTTCAATACAACATGGTTATATTTCTACCATTATTGGTTCAGAATTTCCTGAGGAGAAGATTGTACAGTATGCTAAAGGCTACAATATCAGATTACGAATTGGGTTTTTGTTTCGTCATTCTTTTAGAGCTGGTATATCTGTAGAGCATCCACTCTCTGGAATAGTATTGGCTTGCTTACTCCTTATACCAGTAAGCTCTTGTAATGCGCCCAAAATATGTCCCAGTCTTATTGTACATGAATTTTCCTCATAAAATAAGCCAACCCCTTTTATATCTGGAGGCAATGCCAAAAAGATCTAACATGGTTTGCTTCTCATCTGTTTACTGCTGAAATATCCACTTCAATGCTTGATAGTGTGATTCACTGTAGACACTATATTTAGTTTATTATTTCAGTTTTGAACAGAACATCTCTCCCCCAGTTTTTCCCCCAGTTATAAGGCTGGGCCTCCCCTCAGTGTGACTTAGTCTTTAGTGGGCTGATTGCACAGCAAGGAATTCCTCTGCGTTGGCAACACTAGTGGTGTCTCCAGCCTTACGGTAATGGGGTCCGTTTATGGGGTGTAATGCCTGGTAGTGGTGGTGGTAGCACAGCGGGGGGAGGGCTAGCATGGCGTGAGTAATCTTCTCCCCGCATGGAAGAAAAAACTAGAGGAGTGAAGAGAATGAATAGAGAGTCTTTTTTGACATTCAACTCAGCAGTCTTCTCTAGACTGGCTATATTTATGTTGTTACTGTTACTGGACCCCCCCAAAGCCATAGCCTAATGGTTTCCTGTCTATCCTGTAAGAGACCTTAGTTCCTCTGTCCTGTATTGAATCCATCAGAACGTACCCCAGGGGACACCGAGCAATGATAGCTTTGAAGCTTTTGAGCTCAATCAGAATTATAGGACTCTACATCTGCATTCTTCATTCTCAGTGGAATCTATGTCTCTTCAGGCAATCCGACAAATGTTATTAATCAAACTAAACAGATACATTTTATCGTGGCCTTGGGTCATCTCATTCAATTTATGGATTGATGTATTGCTCTGACAGAGGCTATGGACATGGACTATCCATTGATGAAGTCCTTTCATTCTTTGTCTCTGGCCAATACTGTCTGGTCTCTAAGTAAAGAAGCTCATCATGTACTTCCCACTCTGTCTTTATGAGGGTACATTGCTGAGTGGTACAAAGACTGGAAACATCTGCTTTAGTTTTAAAGGACATTTTCAGAGGGCTACAGACCTTCTCTCCTCTTCTTCTGAGCAACCGTTAGCTAGGTACTATAGTGTTGTTCACTAAAGGTGTACAGTGTAAAGCTGTTTAGAGCAGAGTCTGTGTGGTATTGAAGACTGGCCAACTATGTCGTGTTTTTCTGCAGTTTTGTATTGTACACAGGCCCAGTGATGGCTTCATTGCGAACATTCCCTAGTGTCTCATTCAGCCAATAAATCTTTAGTCAGACTCTCTAATTAATGTTTTCAGCTGCTGTTCTCTCCCCACTCAACCCCACTCTCTTATTTCCCCCCTCTCCCCTCTCCCTCTCGCCATCCCTCCATCTCTCTGTCTCTCGCTATAGTGGAGCGTACTCCTGTGAGGAACATCCAGGTCTTCGGCCCCACCACCAACACCCTGAACGTACGCTGGGAGCCCGCCTCTGGCGAGGTCGTGCAGTACAGGGTTGTCTACGCCCCCATGAGCGGCACCAAGCCCTCCGAGTCGGTGAGTCACCACCAAGGAGACCCACAGGGCCTCTGATTGACCCTGCCCCAGGTCAGAGGTCAAATGTTAGAGTCCAGGGACTTTGGGTGTGTGCAAGGGTGGCCGAGTCCAACGCTTCAGTTCATTTACAGCACTACAGCTCTTTGTGAAGGAACAGAACGGAACAACATCAACCTCAACCTTGCCCCTGACTTAATGTTATTTAAAGAAAGCTCTCTCTGTCTGTGCTCCATATGGACTGTCTCTCTGGTGGCGGTTTTATTTAACACTCTAGTACTGGTTTAAGGCAAGATGTTCATGTTTATTAATTAAAACAGGAAACCCCGTCTGGGCTTTTTCCCTCCTTTTCTGGCATAGCTGTGCCCACATCTCTGGAGTTATAAAGGATGTATGGTGAAGCTAAATGCCCCACAAACAACTAATAGAGTGCTACTTGACACTGCGCAAACAGCCACATCTGTGAGAAGCATTGAGACACTGATACCCAGTTTTTATTTAAAGTCAAAGAACATTAGTTATTTGAAGAGTGATGCTGTCCCATTTTGTTTATAGCTAAAGGTACTCTTGTTTTTTTAATAAAGTCATCACATTTTGTTTCTTGGGGAATATTATGATGGAGTCAGGGCTGGGCTTTTCCAGTGGCAGAGCCAGCTTTCCACGTCAGCATTCATGTGGCCAGTGTCATGACCTACAATCAAATGTAACCCTGGGAGATTTGGTGTATGCTTTACCAAATTAGGAAAGCAGCCTTGTAATATTAGATTTACCTCTTGAGAGGAACATGTTGCTATTAAACCCAGAGCAGTGACCGGAGTAAGGGTTTGATGACGCTCATCAAAAACAGTCATGTGAAGCAGAGAGATAGAAAAAACACACATTGAGCATGACGCAATGCTGCTTTGGGTCAGAAGTGAGAGGGAAACCAGATGGGTGTGGACAGGACTCCTGTATATTTTGTATAGTATGTGACTCTAGGTGACTAGGACATGGCAGGTAGATGAGAAGATCAGAGAAGAGACTAGCTTACCTTTGAGATCATGTTGGCAAGACACAGACAAGTGGGGTCTGGTATCCAGTATGGGTGAACTCAGGGCTAACACAGACACACACAGACGACTGCTAGCCAGACAGATAGGTCAGAAGAGCCAGGCGGCTGTAAGCAACTGTCAACACATTACGTTAGTTACTCAGTATATTATTGCCCTGACTGTCTGGATGGGTCCTACATCATTGACATCAAAAGCATACTTTTGTTCCCCCTTTCAGTGAGCACTGAGCAGTAACAACACAAGTGGTCGTTGAGTGAGGTGAGGTGAGGACAAGCTGTGGGGGGGGGGGGGGGGTCATAGCTGCCAGGACCATGCGGTTCACAACAGCATTACGGCATGGTTGTTGTTTTCCCCATACAGCTGATACACTTTTCAAACAGGAAGTACTCCTCCCCCATCTGGATGTGTCAGTTAAGGCTAGCTTAACTGATGTAGAAGATCACTGTTCTTCTACAGATCTCCTTGCTATTACTGTTAATTATATTCTTGATCAGTGTTTTTCTAGTTTTCAGAATCAAACATGTGGGTATGAGGGTAGTAGTTTGATTGAATCCAACCCCCTGTAATGCCTGCTGTTTGCTTCATCCTCCCATTGGGCCCGGTCCTTCAGCACTGAAACCTGTGTCTCTGTCCTCTCTGTTCCTGTTCAGATTCTGGTTTCTGGGACATCAACCACCACCCTGCTGGAGCAGCTGGTCCCAGACACGCCCTACAATGTGGGAGTGGTCGCCATCTACACAGACGGAGAAGGACCGCCGGCCGAAGACGAGGGCAAAACACGTAAGATCCACTAAATCAAACATAAGATCATGTGGCCTTTATAGGTTTATCTACATCCACGTTTGTGCTTGATATCGTGCTAACTTCTTTATTATCCTGGGCCCAGTTCCCCGCAGTGGCCCAAGGAACATTCGTGTGTATGATGCCACCACCAGCTCTCTGACCGTGGCATGGGAACATGCTGAAGGTCCAGTGCAGCAGTACAAGATCACCTACGCCCCCACCACTGGAGACCCCATTGAGGAGCACGTAAGCACCCATATTGCTGATTTCTCTGATGATATACTCATCAAACACCACCAAAATTGTATATGGCCCAAGGCGCAATGTGTAGCCCAAAGTCCTTATTTCTCCTCCGTTTGAAGTACCTGTAGCTTCAAATATTCATGCAGTGTCCTGCCTGTGTGTCCTGTAGACTATGGTTCCTGGGAACAGAAATACTGTCATCCTGCCCAACCTGGATCCAGACACTCCCTATAAGATCAACGTGCAGGCCATCTACCTCGACGGACCAGGGGGAGATCTGGATGGAGACGGACACACAGGTATGCTAGCACATTATCTGCTTGATCCTCAATGCAACATGATAGAATAACAGACCCACACAGCGCTCCACAAACGCACAGTTATTTGCAGACACATACTGTAAGTCATAGTCACTCACACACACACACACACACACACACTTAATGGAGAGAAATAATTCCCAGTAGAGGGGTTTTATAAACTCAGCCACTGATTATTATCCTGGATCTGAGAAACAATAGAAACTCCATGACTTGGCTTCAGCTCAGTCTGCCTGTGTGTGCCAGAGATGTGAACTGGCTGTCCTCCAATGGGAGATCTCATACGGGAGCTGCCCAATACCCAGTCTCATTTCCACTAACAAATTACACCACATCAAAGCAAAGACTTAGCTTAGGATCACATGGCTATGATATCCATGTTAAGAGCGTTGTAATATGTTTTTAATATGTTTTGACTGTCTGTGTTTCCTTCCCCACAGTTGGCATGCTGGGGCCTCAGAACCTGAGAGTGTCAGATGAGTGGTACACTCGCTTCAGAGTGTCCTGGGACCCCGCCCCCTCCAGAGTGGTGGGCTACAAACTGGTCTACTCACCTGAAGGTCAGATAGTTACTGTTCTATTCTACTATTCTATTCTGCCGTGAAAGAACATTGTCTGATGACAAATCACTTTACTTGCTTAAAATACCTATCCTGCAATAGAAGAAAGTCACAGATATCTTTTGAAGATGTGATCGCTTGCCTGCTGTTATTGACCTGGAGTGTCCCTGTCTGTGCTTGCAGGTACTGATCAGACCATGGAGACGTTTGTTGGAGATGTGACCACCTACCAGCTGCCCAACCTGCAGCCAGGAACCACCTATGACCTCAAGGTGTTGGCCCAGTATGACACTGGCCTTAGCGGACCTCTCATTGGACAAGGAACCACACGTAAGTGATTGATTGGTTGTTTGATTGTTTGGTTGATCAAATGGTTGATTGATTGATTGGTTAGTTGATTGACTGTTCCTGTCTTTCACAGTGTACCTGAACATCACTGACCTGACCACCTACAATGTTGGTTATGACACCTTCTGCATGAGATGGACCCCACATAGGGCTGCCACATCCTACAGACTCAAACTGAATCCCTTCAACCGTAAGTACTGTACCTGGCTGGGAGCCAGAGGAGGCTGGTGGGAGGAGCTATAGGAGGACGGGCTTATTGTAATGGCTGGTATGGATATAAATGAAATGGAGTCATATGGTTTCCATATGTTTTGTGTTTGATACCGTTCCATTTATTCCATTTTAGCCATTACAATAAGCCTGTCCTTCTATAGCTCCTCCCACCAGCCTCCTCTGCTGGGAGCCCATTCAGTCCATATTACATTGATCCCAATGGGGGAGGACTGTTTCTATACAGTAGCTCTTGTTTTATATTTATTTCAGAATGTCTACTGTCGATCAGATATGTAGCCAAAGTTACCACCCTATCACAAAGGTGTAGTTGATAAAATGTCTTAATGATCCATTTGTTTCGTATTAACTCTCCGATGCTAGAGTACTGTAAAATAAAACATATTTAAGTCTGTTTACAGTATGGTAGCCATTATAGATGGAAGCAGTGCACTTTGCAACCTTAAGTGAATTCTTGTTTGTTTGAAAGGGTATCTGTTGAATAACACAAAACACTGTATAAGCCCGCTGCTGCCTCAGTCCAAGCGCTACTATTGGCTGTAACCCCTCTGAGGGAATACGTTTAGAGTGTATGGGGATAAATCACCTGATCCACTACCAATGTGGGTAACTCTTTCCTCTTCCCTGCAGCCTCTAACAAGGGAGCTCAGGAGACCACCATTACTGGGTCTGAGAGCCACTACTGCTGGGACGGCCTGACCCCTGACGCCCTCTACAATGCCACTGTGTACACACAGACCCCCAACCTGGAGGGGCCCGGAGTCAGCGTCAAGGAGAGGACGCGTAAGAAACCCCACTAACCATCAGACCTGTCACATGTCACTTCCATTGTATTCATACGTATGTATACCCCCCACCACACTCAGGGTGTAAGAAAACACCTCAGTGTCTTTGCAGGGGGCTAACATGGCATTCTAGTAAAGTCCAAATGGTCTGACTGTTTATGTTTTGGTCTTTGTTATAGTGATCAAGCCCACAGAGGCCCCAACTGAGCCCCCCACCCCACCTCCGCCCGCCACCATCCCCCCTGCTTTGGACGGTAAGGAGAGGCTTCAAGTCAGCATGCTGTGGAGCGACGTGAAGAAACTCTTTATACGTCTCCTACCTGACATGTCCATTAACTTTGCTCTATGTGTTCCACAGTGTGCAGAGGAGCCAAGGCTGACCTGGTTTTCCTGATTGACGGCTCCTGGAGTATCGGAGACGAGAGCTTCAGTAAAGTGATCCAGTTTGTCTTCAGCATGATCGGCGCCTTCGACGTCATCCACCCTGGCGGCATGCAGGTACATAGCCATGAAGACTATCCTCTGAGATGTAATGCTTCAAAACGAAAGTGATGAGTCTCTGGCTGTTTACAGCATATTCCCTTCTCTTTTCCTTTTTAAGAGTATATTCACATCAATGCTCTATCATGTTCTCTCTCTCTCTCTCTCTCTCTCTCTCTCTCTCTCTCTCTCTCTCTCTCTCTGTCTCTGTCTCTCTCTCTCACTGTCTCTCTCTCTCTCTCACTGTCTCTCTCTCTCTCTCACTGTCTCTCTCTCTCTCTCTCTCTCTCACTGTCTCTCTGTCTCTCTCTCTCTCTGTCTCTCTCTCTCTCTCTCTTCTCTCTCTCTCTCTCTCTCTCTGTCTCTCTCTCTCTCTCTATTCGTCTCTCTCTCTCTGTCTCTCTCTCTCTCTCTCTCTCTCTCTCTCTCTCTTCTCTCTCTCTCTCTCTCTCCTCTCTCTCTCTCTCTCTCTCTCTCTCTCTCTCTCTTTTTCTTCTTCTTCTGGAAACAGGTGTCTTTTGTGCAATACAGTGACAGTGCCAAGACAGAGTTCAAACTGAACACTTACCAAGACAAGGGAAGGACCTTGGCTGCGCTGCAGCTCGTCCGCTACATGGGAGGAAACACCAAAACAGGTACACCCACAGACCACTCTGACTGACTGCTACTCTCAATGTTACTGACTGACATCCTTAACACTCAATGCATAATGTTGAGTTAATCAAAAAGTCTAGATACATTCACTCAGCGTCAATGTCATCACAGTGTCTTCATCATGCTGGTGGAGTTGAATGAGTCCATAGTTAAAGGTTGAGACTGATGTCCTACCCCTCTGTGTACAGGTGCTGCTCTGAAGCACGTTGGTGAGAAGGTGTTCACCTCAGACAATGGCATGAGGAAGCATGTGCCTAAGGTTCTGGTGGTCGTCACCGATGGTCGCTCCCAAGACGAGGTCCAGAAGAGTGCCTCCAACCTGATACACTCAGGTAAGTGTTCAACGTTGGGATTTGTCCTTATAGAAGTCAGAAACTGGATCTTTTCAGTCAAGGTTTAGTAAACCTTAGTTGACTTTAAACATGCTTTGTGTGTAGCTAGCTACATAACTTGTTTTGAGGTATAGCATTGTTTAGCTCTTTTGGGGGTTTTTCGGTTTTTCAAATTGGAGTGTTTGAAGTACTGGCAGATCTAAACAACCGCTGTGAAATAGATCTGAACAGCCACTAAGGATTGATTAGGCCATGGTGTATGGATCATAATGGTTGTCTTTGTACTCACCTCACTCCAGGTTACAGTGTGTTTGTGGTTGGTGTGGCTGACGTGGACATGGCAGAGTTGAGGAACATTGGCAGCAAGCCAAGTGAAAGACACGTCTTTGTTGTGGATGACTTTGACGCATTCGCCAAGATCCAGGACAACCTCATCACATTCATCTGCGAAACGGCCACATCCAGTAAGATTGGCATTGACATTACACGATACCTTAAGACACAAGTGAAACCAGATTGACATTTGCTGTCTGTTGCCCTCCAGTCTTTTACAACTTATCATGTTGTTTCATTTCTCCCTCTTCAGCATGTCCTTTGATCTACATCAACGGGTTTACTTCACCTGGTAAGTAAATATTCGGAATAAACTGACAGCTACTGATAACACCTACGGGCTAGTCAGTACTGTGCACTATCTTCCTATGTATTGACTTGTATTTTCTCATTATTGTGTATTGACCTGATGTATATTCTCCAGGCTTCAGAATGCTTGAGGGCTTCAACATTACAGACAGGACCTTCGCTGCCATGAATGGCGTGTCCATGGAATCTGGCTCCTTCAACAGCTTTATAGCCTACAGGCTTCACAAGGACGCATTCCTCTCTGCGCCCACAAAGTAAGTGTGTGTGCGTGTTTGCAGCCTGTTTCCGTTGCGGGCTGCCTGCTCCTCTCCTGCGTACTATAATGTTGGCCTGTGTAATTATTTTTAATGACCTTCAAAGGCTCGGCAGCCTGCGTTCCCCCCAGCGCCCATCCAGCATCTACAGAGCCCCTTGCCAGTTCTGTTTGTTGTTGCAGCTTGTAGAATATGAGGTGTTAGTAAGAGAAAATAATTTGGGTCGGAGTGTAAAGCTCCCAGGGTAGGGCCCTCTCCCACATATGTCATAGAGGGAGCAGCCAAAGCAGCCAGAGGTCAAGAGCCCTGCTCTTTATTGAGCCCTGCTCTTTATTGAGCCCATTAAAATGTCTTCAGGCAATCGCTAAGCTGCTCAAGAATTCTGTTCTAACATCTAAGGCACGAGCATGCTTTGTTAATTTGTCCATAATGATTCGTATTTGTGCGTGGGTAAGCCATTGACTTAATGTGCACAAATGAAAACACTTCCAGCAGTTAGGTAGGGACTGAAAAATACTTTCAATATGTCAGTAATTTTTCGAGGTTGGGGTAGAACTGGCAACCATTTTCAGGTTGTGTGGCCAATGTGACAGGGTGGATATTGTGTGTCTTTTTGGTTTATGGTGTGGCTTTTAAGGTACCAACATTGTTGCTATGTATCTTTGGTCTTCCAGGAGTTACAAAGGATCTAGTATTTCATCCTGGCCAAAGGCTCTATAGATTACGATTTGCCATCTTAATCCAAACAGGTCTTAGTGGACTCTCTCATGTTGCTCAAAGATTTATGATTATCTGATGATCTATACCCACTGGGCACACACTGGTTGAATCAATGTTGTTTCCACGTCATTTCAATGAAATTACATTGAACCAACGTGGAATAGACTTTTGAATTGATGTCTGTGCCCAGTGGGTAAACTAGTGATCAGATATTCTCAGGGCTGGTGTCTATGAAGTTGACCATCTTACAAAAGTAAAATCCCTTAGCTCCATGAAAGAGCTCTGCCATGACACCTGTATTTTTGTTCCTGCCAGGGAGATCCACCCAGAGGGCCTTCCTCCATCCTACACCATAATCCTGCTCTTCCGTCTCCTCCCCGACACCCCCAACCAGGCATTTGATATCTGGCAGATTGCTGACGGCAACAACAACCCTGAGGTCGGGGTCACCGTCAACCGTAAGCCCCCATCATGCTTTGTTTCTCTTATGGGGTAAGCTGTGGCTGCCCAACAGCTGTGGTGTGATTCCCCTCCTTACTGCATCAGATAAGTGTTTAGAAACTTAGACCAGTGTAATGACCTGTAGGCCACTAAGGTCCACTGATCCCCTGTTGGTAAATTCAGGATAAAGGAGATTCAGACCTCTGAATGCAAAAGTATTAACCCCAAGACTTGGCTGTATCAAGCTGTCTCTCATAGAGTGTTTTGGTTTGACACTGACTTTTCACACTCTGTGTGTATTTCCAAGTCCGTACGTGTTCACTTGTGTGCCTAAGTTTGTGATCAAGTATTGTACCTAAGTAGTCACTTGTTACTTGTTAAGTATTCAAGTGTTTACTTGTTCGTAAGTGTTTAATTTTGAGGGCTATCTCCCCTGTAGCTCACTCTGTTTGTGTGTTTCCATGTGTGTTGCGTGACTTCTCCCTGTAATGTATGGTTAGGGGGCCATCTGAAACCATTGTTCCCTCTTTTCAGCTTCCAGCAAAACAATCACATTCTACAACAAGGACACCAGAGGGGAGATCCAGAGAGCCACGTTTAATGAGGATCAAGTGAAGAGAGTTTTCCACGGAAGCTTCCACAAGGTAAACACCATTTCACTTGAATGAGAACGGTTTGTGGGCCATATGATGACATTAATGCTTGCCAAAGGAATCACATATCTTGGCTTATCTTTCTGGTTGGATTTCCTGAGGACATACAGATCAGCAATAATCTGCAATAAATTGTAATAATAACTTCCAAAACACCAGGTTCCAAAGATACATTTTCACATGAATAATGGATTTCTGTGGTAACATTTTTTGATACATTTTCAGGGGAGATTATCCCTGTCTGGGATGTGTAACCTTGATATGGTCACCACCTATGATAGATTAGGTGTTTCAAGAGTCTTTATGGGCGGTCATGTCTGTTCATAGTTGACGTTTCTGTGGATTAGTGTTATGCCTCATTGAGTTCACCTCCTGAGGTGATAATCAATGCAAAGTCTAAGGTCTAGCTAGGATCTGGTTACCTACCTCTCACGACATTGAATGTGATCCATCTTACAGTAGTGCCAAAGTGGCATATTCAGGCCTTTTTACAATCTGGCGTTTAGCTTTGTTTTCTGAGACTTTAGGCAGTTATTTTGATGAATGGTTTGGAAGCACTATAAATATCTTTCCAAAGGTTGGAGGAGACTTTGGTGACCCCATGGTCACCTTGCACAATGTGCAACCAGTTAGCCTAGCGATGGAGGCTTATAGTGTGCTGATTGGCCATTGTCCTGGCGGCAGTCAGGTGGGAATTCCTGAACATTCTGAGGAAGTGGGCTGTTATTGGATCAGTGTTTGTTTTGGTTTACCTCGTTTACAATAAATAAAACCTGATACATTGGGAAAAAGACCAGGTCGTACATTTTACACCGCAAAACAGAAAGCTAGCTGCGTATGCCCAATTAAGTATTTTCAAGAGAGTTTGCTGCTTGAATCGAATTATCTGTCAATAACAATAATTTCCTCCTTTAACAGATGGTTTCTAAAAGTCAGGGAAAATCCTCTCAAAGTATTATTACACGCCATGTTTGCAGCCGGGGGAATAAACTGATGAAATCGACCCAAAAATTCAACAAGCCCAAAGAGACTTACAAACATCTGTCAACATGAATGGAGATATTTTGAGATATATTGCATCTCCTATACTTTACATTTTCCTGCCTCTGAGTGTGGATTCCCATTGGCACCCTGTTACTTTTCTATGGTGGGATTACAATGTCAAGTCTGAGTGGGGGTGGGAGTACATACCTATAGTCATTAGTCACTGAAGGCTTTCAACCCTGTTGAAATAACACTGTAGATGATGCCATAATTGTTTTAAAAAGCCATTGTTTCTCTAGAATGATTTTGTAACATGCCAAGTTTTAAAACCATCATATACAGTGTTTTTGCCACATTCTGGGGACCTCAATGTCACAGCAGGAGTAGAGGAGCTCACATGGGACATCAAACGCTAGGCCCAACTCAAAGCAGAGCAGAATATAAAACATCCTCTGTTATGCTCAGCTATCATAAGATGAAAAGGAGTTAAACAATGAACGTCAGTATTTTTTCATATTATTTTATGAATGTTCCAAGATGTAAGATACATCTAAGATGAAGATATTACTGTTTCCAGTGGACTTGAATAATGTTTCAAGTGTATCCAATGTTTCTGAAGGGGAACAATATCCCTCCTATTATATAAAAACTTGAGTAATTTATTTTTCTAAAATCATGAGGACCCTCCCTCTAGTGTAGTGTACATCAAATGTACTTCCTAAGGTCAATGAGTCCACTCTGAACACTTAGAAGTTATGAGGGAGAATGGTATGCCCACAGAACCTCAAGTTAATGTAGTTTCAGTCAGACCACTAAGCAGCAGTGCTAATTACAGGATAATGTTATGAATGGGACCCTGGAAAATGTTGGGTCAGGGCTATATCCGATGACATCAGTGACATCAGCACAATGACATAATCAGAGCTCCAGTTGGATACCTATGTGTCTGTGTTTCTTTTCTATTGCTGTGGTGGTGCCTGCAGTCTGAGCTAGTGTGTGGTGCTGTGGTTACTGCTCTGAGGCAAAAGGAATCTACAGCTGTCTACCTACCAGATTAATTCCTGGTCTGGTGCATGTGTGTACTGTAGTTATTGACTGGTGTGGTTGTCTGTTTGTGTATATTGTGGGTTCCCAATGGTTCATCCATGGGTGGTTTGGAGTGACCTCAGCGTGTAGCTAGTGACTAGTGACCAGCGAGGTCAGAAAAGACAGCTGATCTTAAATACAGGGAAAGTCCAGCTGTCACACAAATGCTCAAATGTAGCCCTTAACATGTATAGTGTGCTCTACCTCAGAGCAGTTCATATCTTTTATATGAACTCAGAATAGATTGTTATTAGACTCACAATACATTTGAGGTTTTCTCCTCCCCTCAACTATTTCACTCACCAAATGAATAGTTAATACTAAGATTAGACATGTCCATGGGAAAATATGAGACAACTAACCCAAAACAACCCTCATCTCTATTCCTAGTCTGACCCATGCTCTCATTTGAACTATAGTCCTGATGTTTGCCAAGTGTAGTAAAATGTGTAGGGTGTAGCTACTTCATATAGTTTAATTGCAGGGTGAACGTTTTTTCATCAACTCATATACTGTATGTATCATTGGTGCCATTGGGGGTTTTGCATTTTGTTTGCGATCAAGTGGAAATATGAACGTTTTTGGTGGTTTTCGTTATAGCTAGATGTATTCAGTCCACCCACTCTGCAGTTTCCCCATACTTAAAGCTTCACAAATGCAGCTATTATTCTCTGAGAGGACCCAAACTCTCTCAAACTTTCCATTCAGGGATTGGGTGGTTAGGTTTTGCCAGTATTTGCATGCACTAATTGTGGAAGAAGAAATGCTCCAAAGAACCCAAATTGTTTAAAACGTTGGTCTTTGGTCAATCTCTAACTGATACTTTGCCATAGCCCTGACTGCCCTCGTTGTACTCTCGGTATTACAGTGTTTCCTCTGATGCCTTCTTTAAAAGTCTTCCATTCCGTGAGGTAGCCAAGCAGATTTAATGACGCATACAACCATTCCAGCACTAGAGGAAGCCACTCAGAAATGAAATGGTGACTTTACAACCAAGGCTAAGCAAGCTCCTTTTCGGAAGCCTGGATGGGAATATTGCATCGTCCTCCAAGACTGGATATGGTGGCAGTAGTATACATAAACTAGGATTATGTCTCTTCCTGATAAAAGTTGTCGATCTGTGAATGCAATTTAGCAGTGCATCAAAAAATTTCAGATAAGTGAGAGAGAGATATGTCCACTTTTGCTTTTAATCAAACTAATTAAGGAATCCTATCTTAGGTAGCGAGGCTGCATGTGAATTGTGATTTCCCCAGCTATCAGGGCTCAGGAGTGAGAAACAGGAGGAGCCGTGAAGACATAGCCAATACCAATAAAATGGAGTCCGATAGAAATCATGAACGTATGTCAGGGGAACCAGGGGGAAAGAACGCAACAGAAGCCAAAATATGACTATATGCACTGTTACTGTGCTATGTCTGTGGACTGGACACCTAGCTCTGATATAGCCTTTATTATGGTGTCCACAGTATACCAATGGGAGAATCCATACTAGTGTGAATGGAGTGCTAAGAAAGAGATGTGTCCAAGATGTGCCAATGTTCAGAAGTGTTTTTGTGAATCCTAATTTTCCAGTAATATTTTCCAGTTATGTATACATTCGTATTATTTGCACTTGCAGTACATCATTGAGCATTATTTTGGTAAGCCCTCAAGTGAATCATAGTATATCTATGTCCATGCCAGGATCCTGAGGTATCAGACCCCTCTCCTGTGGTTGGCTAGATAGTCTGTTCTCTTGCCAAGAAAGTCCACTGTAATTTCGTGAGTGCTTGCCAAGTGCGGTTGTTATTGCTCTGTAGGACAGGAATGTTAGCCTGCTCTCTCTGTCAGGGTGAAAGCTTGTCAGACTGTTCGAAAAAATGCAACTGCGCAGGAAAGTATGTAAAGTGTGGCACTTTTGATGGTGTACCACAAATAACATAATTTCAAAGGCCCATATTCTGTGGGTTGTTTCATATATAGCTTATAGCTTGTTTTATTTTTTAGATTATTTAATGTTCCGTTGATCAGTGAAAGTGGCTGAAATGAACTTTCTTCCAAGGGACCTACAACCAGAATGTTCTTACATGATACTAAGCTATATAATAACTTAATTATGAGGAGGACTGAATAACAAATCATCTTAATAGTGGTGATTTAGTGAAATACAGTATCAGCATCTTAATAAATATCAGTTAGACTATAGGTTTATGGTACGAGATAATGTTGCTTGTTATGTCTTTCCATTGTAGAGAGAGGTTCTCTTTTAATGCAGAAATGGCATGTCAAAAACACTGGACGCTCTCAAACCTCTTTGGCAAGCCTGGATGTCCAAACATTGTAATAAAATAATAAAAACTTCTCTTTGGAAATGTGTTTTTTTGCATATCCCAACTCCACCTGAGACACCCTCTGAGACTGTGGTCACTGCCAGGGTCAGCCGTTATCAAGGTGACCCCGGAGCAATTAGGGTTAAGTGCCTTGCTCAAGGGCACATTGACCGATTTTTCACCTTGTCGGCTCTGGGATTCAAACTAGTGTCTTTTCAGTTACTGGTCCAACGCTCAAACTGCTAGGCTACCTGCCGCCCGTTGTTGTTGCTGTAGTATTTCATATTGAGATTAGAGTGGTCTTGACTAATAATCCTCTCCTCTTCCTCCTCCTGCTACAGCTTCACATCAGTGTTTCTCCCGAGAGGGTCAAACTGAACGTGGACTGCCAGGAGGTGGCAGAGAAACCCATCAAGGAGGCCAACAACATCTCCACAGACGGCTATGAGGTGCTGGGAAAGATGGCCAAGTCAGGAGGATCAAAGAGGGAGTCGGCAACAGTGAGTGAAAAATGTACAACACTAATTCAAAATGGAAAACCTCGAAGGAAATGCATCCCTCACTCACACACACACAAGCTGTTGGTGTGAAGTGCAAAGTGCCCAGATTTGACACCTAGCTGTTCATTTGTTGATGCTCAATTAAGAGCTACAACTCACAGTCATTGTTGGATGAATGAAAGACGCTGCTCTCTCTCCCTCTCATTTTACTTGTGTTCCAGCTCTCTGTGGGTGATGGCCTGTTTCTGGAGCCATGTTGTTTTTGAGTCCTCAACGCTGGAGCTCAATGGAAGCCATGTGTAACGCCCATCTGTGTTCTAATCTCTTTTTTCTCTCCGTTCTGTTGTACAGTTCCAGCTCCAGATGTTTGATATTGTGTGCAGCTTGAGCTGGACCAGCAGAGACAAATGTTGTGACCTCCCAGCCACGGTAAGAGCAGTTTCGCTGTGGACGGCCCTCCAGTAAGGCCTCATAGCTGTACAGTACCATCAAGCCTTTGCACTTTGACTCGCATTCTAGCATGGACTATAAATTAAGAGAGCCATTATATTCTTGCATGCATGCATGTGTCAGAGGTTCTATGTAATTTCTAAAGTGTGCACGTGCTGTATAGACTTTGTCTGAAGCCTAGCTGGGAATTTTTTTTAAATGAAATGATTGCATTGGCAGGCCTGAATAGACCATTGTATTCCTCTTTAATTGGACTAATCTCAGTACAGTTTTACAATTCCAATCCCACCAAAACAACTGGTCCTTTTGATCATGTGGTGAACAGATGAATCATTGTACTTGATTGTATCTGTGACATGTTTATTACCAGATACATGTGCACTTACTTACTTGACTGTAGCCAATTACCCATCTATCCCTCTCTGTGTCATTTGCATGATATGTTCATATATCATGGCAAAGAAGGCTGTGTTGTGTAAGTTGTCACATATTTCCTTCAAACAAAACAGTTGGGTGTAGACCATGCACTCCACTATTGCAGCAGTCATGTTTCAGTATGCACCCCCGTTTTCTAATGGCTTTAGTAGCTTTTCTAATGGGTTTCCTTGAAGAAAACTTCAAGGCACCATTTTATTGGTTTGGGTTGTCAGAGCAGTGGCACTCATTTTCAATACAGATACTCCTATCTGCACTTGTTGTATTTTGTGGGTTACCAGAAAGGCCCACTGATGTCAAGAGATGCCCAATGGGACATACTATTAATATTGTATTTTAGTAAAGTATTTTTTTACATTCTCATTATCTTCCTTACCCTCCCCCTCTCCTTCCTTTCTGTATTGCAGAGAGATGAGCTCAAGTGCCCGGCTCTTCCCCATGCCTGCACATGTGCACAGGACAGCGTTGGTCCTCCGGGGCCACCCGGCCCCTCGGTAAAGACATGAACCATCCCTCCATTTCTCCTCGTCTTGGGGCAGGGTTCTCTCTTCTTCGGTCTGTCCTCGCCTGGCAGCAAAGCTCTCTCTCTACTCTCTCATATAATAATGATGATGATACCTCTGTCTCCACTATGATGATGTGGACATATAGGAATAGTGTTACAGGGGTATTCTTTTTTCTTCATAATTGTTGCCCTGCTCTAAAGTTTAAGCATGTGGATATTAGAGTGGGGACATCCCTCATGTGAGTATCTGTGTTTTTTCCCATGGAAAACGAATGAGAGGGGGATGAGATGAATGGCGTGCGATGAGGTGTGGGCTATCAGGCTTAGAGATGTGTCAAAAGATAAATGCCCATCTGAAAAGAAAACTGGAAAAACCTTGAAGAGGAGTCTGGAATATGTATGCTTCACTTTGCAACCTTACTAAGCCCCTGTGGGAATTCCTGCCGGCTTGGGGTTTAGGTCTGGAAGCAGCTCCTGTTGTGGGGATGGCTCTGATTCTCAGTCTCTGACTCTGTCTTTCATTCTATCTTGACTTTCCCAGGGTGGACCAGGTACTAAAGGACCCAGAGGAGAAAGAGGAGACTCAGGCCCAACTGTAAGTCAAGAATTTGGATCATTATCAAGCTATTTAACACACACTTAACACACACAGCGATTAATGAGTCTGAGTCATTGGATATTATGGTGTTGTGTGGCCGAGCCGCAATCAAACGTTGAATCAAGCCATATCCAACTGAGCTAACTCGGCTACAGTCCAAGGCCCAACTCATTTACAATAAAGCAGAGTTCAGCCTAATGCAGTAGGGATCTCAAAGCAGTTACCACTGAACTGTACAGTCCACCATTCGCATGCCCCATCAGACAATACAGATTGCTCACATCTGAACTCACTTATTGAATGTACTGTATATTCTTCAGCTTGATTTGTACTGTGTATTTTTCACCAGCTTGATTTATGGAGGCCAGTGTCGAGAGGTCTGATGAGAAATAGAACATAATATGCCATTTAGCAGACGCTTTATCCAAAGCGACTTACAGTCATGCGTGCATACATTTTTTTTGTGTATGGGTGGTCCCGGGGATCGAACCCACTACCTTGGCGTTACAAGCGCCGTGCTCTACCAGCTGAGCTACAGAGGACCACATGTTCCTCACCAACAGTTACTGACTGTTCTGGTTCCTTCTCATTCTCTCAGCCCTGCTGTGGAGGTCTACAGGGAGATATGGTGTGAATAGTTTAAAAGTAATGGGACTATGTTTGGTTTTGTCATTATGCTTCTACCATAGGGTTCAATGGGCCCCCGTGGAGAACAAGGACTTCCAGGACCATCCGGACCTCCAGGTCCACAAGGCCCTAACGGCTTGTCTCTGCCCGGAGAACCTGTAAGTAACACCCCCTTAGATTATGAGGACACTGGTGTCTTAGGGGTTTGTGTTAGTGAACATAGAAATATAATTGCATTGAAGGGATTCTATTTCTATGTCTCTGACCGTCACTGCAGCTATCTTTCATCTGGAGTGTTCTGTAGGATTCACAGTGTGTGGGGACTGTAGGACGTCCTCCCTGGCTTATGATTTACACACACAGTTACTGAGCGTTAAGAAGACCCTATTTATTCTAGACAGTTCTTCCTCCTAGAAATTCTCCTAAAGCTGGGGTGTAAATTCACTCTCAGTGACAGACTACATGACCAAGAGAAAGACCAGATCCCTGTAGTTGTTCAGGGTTGGACTCAATTCTAATCCTCTCCTTCTCTTCGTCTTCTCAGGGACGCCCCGGACCAAAGGGAGATCCCGGAGACTCGGGCCTGACTGGGCTGCAAGTGAGTACAGCTCTCTTTTTCATTAGCTGTGGTTTCGAACAGGAAACCGGAGGCAATTCACTGAGAGAAACAGCGCTACTGGAGCCTGGAATCTGTCCACATGGCAACGCTGCAACCACTTTCAAAGTGGGAGGTAGACCATACAGTCCCCAGAGTGGGGTATTCTCTCCAATCAACCTGCTGTTTGACACTCAGTGGACGGCTACCAGTTAAGATATTATGGGAAACAGAATGGTTTTGCCAATGGGAGTTGAGGATTGAAATGAACTGTACATGTTCCACTACTGTCCTGCAACTGCACATACTCTAAACCCTGCAGTCAAGGCCAAAAAGAGGGAATTGCAGACTATTCATTGCTCTACTTAGGTACCACTAATTGGATTTAAATAGCTGGGAAAGAATGTATTGAGAAGACAAACAACCTCAGTATTGGATGAGTACATCCCTCAAGGTTGCCAATGACCACATGATTATGTTCTCAAAGCGTATTTGGAGCATACATTGTATCAAAAGCCCAAAGAGCGATTTCTGGAGACAATGGGACGAAAGATCAGGAGTTTTCTTGGAAGATATCCTTCATATTCTCATAGATGGACTCCTTGTCCATCTTAGAAGGGGACCACAACATACTGTGATACTTCTTTGGAACTGGTCCTCCACACAATATCCACCATGGCCAGGGACTTTACAAACTGAAAACTCCAGTGCTGAATGATCTGAGGCCCCTTAATTCCAACGATTGGAGGGAGTATTCTGTAACGTTAACAATTTTTTAAAATGTTTACATTTTAGTCATTTAGCAGACGCTCTTATCCAGAGCGACTTACAGTTAGTGAGTGCATACATTTTCATACTGGCCCCCCGTGGGAAACGAACCCACAACCCTGGTGTTGCAAGCGCCATGCTCTACCAACTAGCTACAGGGGACTACAATGATATGAGCATCATTTACATAGTTGAGAATTTCGCATCCCATCAAGGACGACTTTACTTTTGGAATAGGAGACTCCCCTGAACCCTAACAATTACCCTGTGAAGTTAATAATACTAAAGAATAATTTTGTTGAGAATTTCTCATTGCATTAAGATGATTATGGCTATAGCAGCCTTGTCTGTCAAAAGCTCCTGCTAACAACATACATTTCAACAGCCAAGACACGTATCCTAATGTATTGGCCGTAAGATGCATCAGCGAAGTGTATTATGTTCTCACTAAATCACAAGGAAACTAGAGAGCCGCTATTACAGGGAGAAACGAGTACCTATAATTTCTGGCAATATGAAAATGCAATTATGGGCCATTTGAGACAAGTCCGATGTGTGTGTTATTACTGGTTATCACAGTTTGATTGAGTGTGTTGTGTTCCTGCAGGGTCCTGCTGGTGCTGCTGGTCCTATGGGTCCTGTTGGACCAGGTGGAGTGAGGGTAAGATCTGCCTCTCTGTGCCTCTACACAGAGCTGCTCAGTGTACAGGCCCTGTTGAAAGGCCATGAATCTAGCCAGCACCTACTTAAGCACGTGTGCATGTGATCACCTACTTAACTCAACGTGTGCAGTTAAAATGTTGTGTGCTCATAGTATTCTGTTGCATGTTAGTGATGTTACTACCCATGTCAGATGACGTAGTTTGATTCCATTGGACTGCTGCAGTAAAATACAGTACAGAGATGGGTCACTAGGGAGATTAGAGAGGTCCTGGTTTATTTCACTATATCTTTATAGTCCCATCTCTTGGAACGACAACATAACTTTGAAACAACAACAACTTTATAGCAACAACTTAATGACTACAATTAAACTTAATGCCAACTTATTTTTAATGAAGTGTGACTTTTATTGTTGCCTGTTTGTGATTGCCCATCTTCTTTCCCCAGGGACCACCAGGGAAGGAAGGCCCATCGGGACCTAGAGGCCCAACGGGACCGATGGTGAGTACTGGATTGCAGCCAAGAGAAGTAAAACCTCCTGGGAGTGTCTTTTAATGCCTGACAGGAATTATTGGCGCCGGAGAAGATGGCTGCCGTTTTACAGCCCTCTAACCAATTGTACTATTATGCGTGTTTTTTCGCGTTATTTATAATTTATTCTGTACATAATGTTTCTGCCACTGTCTCTTATGACCAAAAAGAGCTTCTGGATATCAGGACAGCGATTACTCACCTCGTATTGGACAAAGATTTTTTCTTCAATGAGTCGGACGCAAAGGATATTCTACAGACACCAGACAATGCCCAAATCCCTGTCATTCGCATGAGAAAGAGACGGTATCGGGGTGCCTTGTAAGGATCCGACGGCGAGCGAGTAAACTGCCTCTTCCATCAATCCTATTAGCCAATGTTCAATCATTTGAAAATAAATTGGACGACCTAAGATCAAGGTTATCCTACCAACGGGACATTAAAAACTGTAATATCTTATGTTTCACCGAGTCGTGGCTAAACGACGACATGGATAACATACAGCTGGCGGTATATACGCTACATCGGCAGGATAGGATGGCTGACTCCGGTAAGACAAGGGGTGGTGGTCTGTGTATATTTGTAAACAACAGCTGGTGCATAAAATCTAATACTAAGGAAGTCTCAAGGTTTTGCACGCCTGAGGTAGAGTATCTCATGATAAGCTGTAGACCACACTATTTACCAAGAGAGTTTTCATCTATATTTTTTGTAGCTGTCTATTTACCACCACAAACCGATGCTGGCACTAAGATTGCACTCAATGAGCTGTATAAGGCCATAAGTAAACAGGAAAACGCTCATCCAGAGGCAGCACTCCTAGTGGCCGGGGACTTTAATGCATGGAAACTTAAATCTGTTCTACCTCGTTTCTACCAGCATGTTAAATGTGCAACCAGAGGAAATAAAACTCTAGACCACCTTTACTCCACACACAGAGACGCATACAAAGCTCTCCCTCGCCCTCCATTTGGCAAATCTGACCATAACTCTATCCTCCTGATTCCTGCTTATAAGCAAAAACTAAAGCAAGAAGCACCAGTGACTCGGTTAATAAGGAAGTGGTCAGATGACGCAGATGCTAAGCTACAAGACTGTTTTGCTAGCACAGACTGGAATATGTTCCGGGATTCTTCCGATAGCATTGAGGAGTACACCACATCAGTAACTGGCTTCATCAATAAGTGCATCGATGACGTCGTCCCCACAGTGACCGTTCGTACATACCCCAACCAGAAGCCATGGATTACAGGCAACATCTGCACTGAGCTAAAGGCTAGAGCTGCCGCTTTCAAGGAGCGGGACTCTAACCCGGACGCTTATAAGAAATCCCGCTATGCCCTCCGACAAACCATCAAACAGGCAAAGAATCAATACAGGACTAAGATTGAATCGTACTACACTGGCTCTGATGCTCGTCGGGTGTGGCAGGGCTTGCAAACTATTAAAGACTACAAAGGGAAGCACAGTCGCGAGCTGCCCAGTGACACAAGCCTACCAGACGAGCTAAATCACTTATATAATCGCTTCAAGGCAAGCAACACTGAAGCATGCATAAGAGCATCAGCTGTTCCGGATGACTATGTGATCACGCTTTCCGTAGCCGATGTGAGTAAGACTTTTAGGCAGGTCAACATTCACAAGGCCGCAGGGCCAGACGGATTACCAGGACGTGTACTCCGAGCATGCGCTGACCAACTGGCAAGTGTCTTCACTGACATTTTCAACACTGAGTCTGTAATACCAACATGTTTCAAGCAGACCACCATAGTCCCTGTGCCCAAGAACACTAAGATAACCTGCCTAAATGACTACCGACCCGTAGCACTCACGTCTGTAGCCATGAAGTGCTTTGAAAGGCTGGTCATGGCTCACATCAACACCATTATCCCAGAAACCCTAGACCCACTCCATTTTGCATACCGCCCCAACAGAGCCACAGATGATGCAATCTCTATTGCACTCCACGCTGCCCTTTCCCACCTGGACAAGAGGAACACCTACGTGAGAATGCTATTCATTGACTACAGCTCAGTGTTCAACACCATAGTGCCCTCAAAACTCATCACTAAGCTAAACACTAAACACCTCCCTCTGCAACTTGATCCTGGATTTCCTGACGGGCCGCCCCCAGGTGGTAAGGGTAGGTAACAACACATCTGCCATGCTGATCCTCAACACGGGGGCTCCTCAGGGGTGCGTGCTCAGTCCCCTCCTGTACTCCCTGTTCACCCATGACTGAATGGCCAGGCACGACTCCAACACCATCATTAAGTTTGCAGACGACACAACAGTGGTAGGCCTGATCACCGACAACGATGAGACAGCCTATAGAGAGGAGGTCAGAGACCTGGCCGTGTGGAGCCAGGATAACTACCTCTCCCTCAACATGATCAAGACAAAGGAGATGATTGTGGACTACAGGAAAAAAAAGAGGACTGAGCACGCCCCCATTCTCATCGACGGGGCTGTAGTGGAACAGGTTGAGAGCTTCAAGTTCCTTGGTGTCCACATCACCAAAAAATTATCATGGTCCAAACACACCAAGACAGTTGTGAAGAGGGCACGACAAAGCCTATTCCCCCTCAGGAGACTGAAAAGATTTAGCATGGGTCCTCAGATCCTCAAAAAGCTATACAGCTGCACCATCGAGAGCATCTTGACTGGTTGCATCACCGCCTGGTATGGCAACTGCTCGGCCTCCGACCGCAAGGCACTACAGAGGGTAGTGTGTATTGCCCAGTACATCACTGGGGCCAAGCTTCCCTTCATCCAGGACCTCTATACCAGGCGGTGTCAGAGGAAGGCCCTAAAAATTATCGAAGACTCCAGCCACCCTAGTCATAGACTGTTCTCTCTGCTACCACACGGTAAGCGGTACCGGAGCGCCAAGTCTAGGTCCAAAAGGCTTCTTAACAGCTTCTACCCCCAAGCCATAAGATTCCTGAACAGCTAATCATGGCTACCCGGACTGTATATTATTTTACATTTAAGTCATTTAGGAGACGCTCTTATCCAGAGCGACTTACAAATTGGATCTATGCATAGTCACTTTAACTCTACCCACATGTACATATTACCTCAATTACCTCAACTAACCGGTGCTCCCGCATGCTAACTCTATACCGGTACCCCCTGTATATAGCCTTCCTACTGTTCTTTTATTTTACTGCTGCTCTTTAATTATTTGCTCTTTTTATTTTTAACTTATCTGTTTTTTACTTAACACTTTTTTATTTTCTTAAAACTGCATTGTTGGTTAAGGGCTTGTAAGTAAGCATTTCACCCTGTTGTATTAGGCGCATGTGGCAAATTGATTTGATTTGATTTGAAAAGACACTCTGGCTCCAGATCTAACTGCCTCTGTTAGTTAGCCTGCAGCACGTGGTCAAAACACAGACAAACTCAGTCCTTCAGTCAGTATTGACGATAAAGCGTGCGTCTCATTCTCTATACTGTGGTGGAGGCCTGCCTCCAGTTAATGGCCACACCATGCAAATAGGAAGAGGGCCAGCGCTGAATTTACATACAGCCTACTTTACCATAAGGACTGCTCTGAAGACCATTAAGCATCCTATTCCTCTTGGGAGTGTTTCCACCCACTTTAGTGGTCTTGGCACAGTATACTGTATGGTGCCTTTACTGTGGATATACAACACAATATAGGGCTGGACCTTATTATACAACATGTTATTTAACAGAGACCGGGAGTGGTTGTTGTTCTTGTATTTACTCATTGATAACTTTGGTAAGTAGATGTAACAATAACGCTGTTATCTTTCCATCATCCAGGGAAGTCCAGGATCTCCAGGAAACACAGGAAACACAGGCAACCAAGGAAAACCAGGAGACACAGGAAACCCAGTATGTACAAACACAAGTGGTCATATGGTGATTTGCATGGGTCATCAAGGAGACAATGGCCAAGATGTGCCAAAATAGTGCCCCTCTGCAGAATTTCCTCCCACTCTAGTAATTCAGTTCTAAACCTCATTTGTGGAAGCATGAAGGGATGGTTTGGTTAAAAACAATGGAAACTGCAACAGTTGATTGCATTGTGTCTTGGATTTTACTCTGGTTCTGACTGGAGGACCTTATTCGGAACATTTACCCCTGATTGCATTCGATTCAGTTGGAAAACGTTGCAAATCTCATGCAAATGAATGTCATTCCTGTTATTGAGAAAATCCATGTTTCCTCTCTTTCACAGGGATTGGCTGGAATAAAGGGAGAAAAGGGAGAGAGGGTATGTACTGTATCTTTTGGACACATCATAACTTTTCAGAGTAGCATTACCTTGTCTCACCAAAATGTGTCTGTTTTCCAGGGAGACTTTGCATCTCAAAATCTGATGCGCTCCATTGCCAGACAAGTTTGCGAACAGCTTGTGAACAGTGAGTGGCAATTTAGAACTTCATAAACCAGCATTGGTTTGGTACACAAACACACACTGGATTCATTGTCTGACATCATATCTTTATTCATTCCTCTCAGGTCAAATGAGCAGAATTGATAATATGATCAACCAGATCCCCACTGGTTACCGTAGCAACAACCCGGGCCCTGCCGGCCCCCCTGGTCCTGCCGGTAACACGGGTCCTCGTGGAGAACCTGGACAGACTGGCCGAAACGGTTTCCCTGGAAACCCCGGCTTACCTGGAAACCAAGGAGAGAGAGGTGAGTGTGAGATGTGCCATTTATCTGTTGTTTTTTGTTTGCCTGTTAAAATTACAACCTATCAGAGATGCAGAACTTAAAGTTGTGACTTACATGTAGGACACAGTCTGTGCTCTTGTTTATCCTATGTAACCTCATAGCAAAACGTCTGGAGTAGCATTGCAACTTTTACAACAATGGTATAATTAAATAATGACAAGAGCACAGAGATCAAATGGCAGTTTTGATTGCAAGCAATTGTGCATAACCCCATCTACAGTAGTCTGAACATATAGGGTTGAAGTTGGAACGTGACATCATGCTAAGACCTGATGGTCATCTGCCATCATGCTTCACTTCCTACAGTAAATCTGATTTACTGTATGCTACAATTTCCTCCATCCTCAAACATGCTCATTTGTGGTTTCAAGAACAGTTATTTTCTGTAACAGATACATTGTACTGTACAATGGGATCTTTTGTCATTGCTAATAACCCGTTCTCTGTGTCTGATTGTTCTGTTGCAGGGACGCCAGGAGAAAAGGGAGAGCGAGGATCCCCTGGAACAGGACAGAGAGGACTCAGTGGTCCGCCTGGTAAGACCTCGGACCTCACTCCTCACTTCTCATGTACAATAACCCAATGCCTCTTCCAAGGTCCCCCCCATCTCACAAGAAAACAGGGACTATTAATGCAAGCCTCTGACTCTAATTAACCTCATATACCTTAACAATCAGGCATGGAACATAAGAATCTTCCTGCATATTTACTCTAAACGGTTGTTTTCAACAGCTGGAGACAGTATGTTCCCATTCACTACAGTTCTAACCTAGTCTTACCATGGCAGCCATTTTGTTCTACATGCTCTACTTGGACCTCTCTTTGTGACCTTTAGAACTCCTCCCAGTGCAATCTAAATGACAGACCCAAGGGGCAGGCCAAGATTTACCTAGCTGTGTCTCAAGAACCTTCGTTTGGGCCGCTGTGCTTCATAAATTCTTAGTGAACGGTCAAATGTATTCCCAGCAAAACACTTTTATTTTCTAGAGAGAATTTATGCTTCTTCTTCATGGGATCGGTCCACACAGATGTGTTCACACGTTTGCCATGGGAATTAAAGTTCCTCTTGATCAACATACCACAAGTCTGACGATGGAAGATCAACATACAGTATTATACAACAAATGACTGAGGGCCTAGGTCTATTTCTGAATGAAGGATTCAATATGTGCTGATGCATTATAGCTCCTATTTTCTCTTATCAAAATAATCTACAGTGCCTTGCAAAAGTATTCATCCCCCTTGGCGTTTTTCCTATTTTGTTGCATTACAACCTGTAATTTATATGGATTTCTATTTGGATTTCATGTAATGGACATACACAAAATAGTCCAAATAGGTGAAGTCAAATGAAAAAATAACTTGTTTGGTGCGTGCATATGTATTCACCCCCTTTGCTATGAAGCCCCTAAATAAGACCTGGTGCAACCAATTACCTTCAGAAGTCACATAATGAGTTAAATAAAGATCTGTCACATGATCTCAGTATATATACACCTGTTCTGAAAGCCCCCAGAGTCTGCAACACCACTAAGCAAGGGGCACCACCAAGCAAGCGGCACCATGAAGACCAAGGTGCTCTCCAAACAGGTCAGGGACAAAGTTGTGGAGAAGTACAGATCAGGGTTGGGTTATAAAAAAATATCAGAAACTTTGAACATCCCACGGAGCACCATTAAATCCATTATTAAAAAATTGAAAGAATATGGCACCACAACAAACCTGCCAAGAGAGGGCTGCCCACCAAAACTCACAGACCAGGCAAGGAGGGCATTAATCAGAGAGGCAACAAAGAGACCAAAGATAACCCTGAAGGAGCTGCAAAGCTCCACAGCGGAGATTGGAGTATCTGTCCATAGGACCACTTTAAGCCGTAAACTCCCCAGAGCTGGGCTTTACGGAAGAGTGGCCAGAAAAAAGCCATTGCTTGAAGAAAAAAATGAGCAAACACGTTTGGTGTTCGCCAAAAGGCATGTATTTCTTGTTTGTTTCACAATAAAACATATTTTGCATCTTCAAAGTGGTAGGCATGTTGTGTAAATCAAATGATACAAACCCCCAAAAAATCCATTTTAATTCTAGGTTGTAAGGCAACAAATTAGGAAAAATGCCAAAAGGGGGGTGAATACTTTCTCAAGCCACTGTACCTCTATTCATTCACCAGTGATCCCAAACCCATTCTAGAAATGGCTGAGGATTAGTCTCTAGTAAGAGTTTTATTCACTGTTGATACTATTCTGTCATCATGGAGACCCCTTTAACATAGCATTCCCCTTTAATTGAAATTCAGCATGTAAAGGCCCTGAGTCCCCAGAAGCTTTCATATCACAGGGGCTAGTGGAAATATCATGCAAGTCATTGATGTCTACTTTTCCCCTCCAGTCGAACACTGCCAAGTCTGTTTCTGTGAATGAAGTGAGACACAACTGAGCAGCAGAGGGAGTAAGCTAGCTAGTGATGATTACTCATTGTTGAGTGGGAGAATCAGATTTTTGTACAATGAGCATTGCTTTGGTGGCTCCTTCATTGACAACACATGTGCTCACTTAAGAGAGCAAGAGCGAGCGAGAGAGTGCTGGGGAAAATTCCATCCTTGGTTTGTACTGTCTAGACAGACTGGGATAGGGGGTAACTCCACACAGCCCTGACTGGCTCCCTTTTTTTCAGACTTTTAATTGAGCCGTCTAAATATCTAAATTACAGTGGTAGAAACCTCCACTTCCAGTTGGGATTTAAGGGTAATGTCAGTGGGGTTTCGCTCTGAGTCTGACCATTCGTTATTTAATTCCCACATCCCACCTTCCTCTATCTACTCCCAGGGCCACCAGGTGAGGCTCGGACCGGCCCCACAGGTGCTACGGGCTCTGCTGGGCCTCGTGGCTCTCCTGGTCGCCAGGGAACCCCAGGAGTGAGGGGACCACCTGGGCCCCCTGGCTACTGTGACTCCTCCCAGTGTGTTGGCATTCCTTACAATGGGCAAGGCTACCCAGGTATGTTCACGACTGACTGAATCTCTATCTGCATGGCAGGATAGCTGAATACATAGTGAATGTATGAATGTAACGTATGCACACACATTTATTTACAACTTACAGAGAGATATGTACTCAACAGCTAACTTTCTGCTCTGGTTCAATGAATGGAGACCATGGGTTTCAAGGGTTTTTAACAAAAGTGCAATGTTGATATTCAGCTATAAGTACCCAGTTCCATTTGATCCAACAAACCTTCTGCAAATGGAACAGTGGACTTATCTTAGTGCCCACAACAGGCTTTTCACAACATTATGAACCCTTTACTTCCAAGGTCTCAATATGTTTGTTATAGAGTAGATATTCATAATAGCATGTAAAACACTGCCAAGTAGAAATAGAAATGGCAAATAACTTTCTCCAACAGAGAGATCTAACCCCCTGTTTGAACTGTTTTCAGGTCGGTCCTAGTAAACTTTCTAAGGCGCCTGTGCCGCTTACACTTTGAAGTCCTGTTTCTGAGATGTTAGCTCACTGGCTAATGAGCCCGTAAGGATAACCATCGTGGACATAACTAATGAACAACGTTAAAAACCCAAAACGAGAAAGAAAGGAGTGGACTGGCACTAACACCACTTCACAGCTACTATCAGACAAGCTGAGATGGCAACCCTACTGGCCTGTTTGCATCTTGAACAAAAACCCCAGCAAACTGAGAGAGGGCTTCTCTACGCAGGAAGGAGCATGTAAAAAATTAAAATAAAACAATACTAATAAATTGGATCTCATAACAAAAGAACAACAGTGTTAACATGTAGACGTGATATCTGTAAATAAACTAATTGTGCCTTGTAAATTATGTTTGAACCACACAATCCACTAAAACCAGTTAACATCTGTATTGAGCTTGTGCCTTATAACCCGCTTCTTACTGACTTACTGCCAGCATAACCTCTGTTTTATTATGATGCCTGAGTGATTTACACAGCTTGTGCTCTGGTCAAACTGAAGCATGTGCCATTTGTACATTTAATAATGATGTTCTTTGTATGTTTGCCTAATCTATGCTAAATGTTATTTCCCTGCCATTTTCTTCATTTAAAAAAAATATATATATACATCGTATTAGTTCATTTGCTGTAGAACACTTGTTTTCTAATACCTCAGTGGGTTTTAGGACTAGCAATAGGATATAGGCTAGAGCAAGAGATTAGTGGCAGTGTCGTCTTAGTGTTTTGTTACAAATTCCATCCCAGCTGTATTACTTGTATTGGTATTTATCTTTATTTGGGGTGTGTGTTCAATATGGTTGATTGTTGTCAATAACATTAAGTGCTAGAGTGCATGGAATCACTAACATTCTTAGAAACAGAGAATTTAGGTCCATACAGTGAATACCTTGGTTGATTATTCATGTTTAGGAGATAGTCAAAGGTTTAGGTTGTACATTGTGCATGTCAACTCTGAGACTGTCGACTAAAGTCCTGTTTGATTGGCAAACTAATATTTCTAGCCACCGGCTACGAGCCCGATCCTGAAACCTACGTAGTCCCTATACCTGAGGAAGAATCGGAAGACGAATCTGAGGCTATACAGTCGCCTGGTTACTCACGAAACCAGAGAGGAAAGAGGTCACTATCAAGAGATGATACAGAGAGGATAGCACCATAAACAAAAACAAACAAATAATTGTTATATTGAATTTATCTCAATTTTTACATGTATTAGTGAAATTCAGAGAATACAATCTACGGGTTTGATACCCCTGGGTTTATTGAGCATATTTTTACACATAAACAAGCTAAGTTTAGGAAGATTAAGTGAAAAATATAAAGAATCTAGACATTATTTCATTACAAATCTGTGTGCTTGCTAACTGTTCCCTTAAGTGTCTCTGCTTGTAATATAACTGCATTAAGTGTTTATTAGAGTCCAATGTTTAATGCACTAATCATGTCAAAGTCAGCAAATACGTTGGGGGAAGTGTATGTCTCTGTACCCATCCACATTACCCCTGTCCCTCACAGCTTCACAATGTCAAGCTCTGTCTGTTCAATTGAAATCATGTAGTTTGCCACCCTCCTCATCAGAAAGAGGGTTACTGGTTCCAGCTCCATTAAAGGTTCTCAACGACTGTTAAATCCCGCTTTCAATTAGTTACTTTAGACCGAATGTGTGTTTGTTTTATAATGCCAACTCACAGCAGATTTTTACCAAAGGTGGAATTGCATGTCTGTGTTGTACATTTAGTAAAGATAAAAAAAATTAACACGGAATATAGTTGTTGTTTTGTATCAATACCAAATGCAGTTGGAATTTGTTTGCAAGACTATGGACATAGAATTGCTTTTCTCATGTTTTAACTGCACATTGTGAATTCCACAGCCTTATTTTCTTATTTATTTCTGAAACAGAAGAGGCATTTTTCAATAAAACTACTGAAAATGTATATTTTGTTTCAGTCTCATGTCTGTGGTGTCTTCGTCTATGTCCCAGCTATTTGATAAATGCACTGTAGCTGCAAACATCAGATGCAGTATGATCACATGGCAGATGCCAATCCCCCCAAAAATGTATTTAGTAGAGTGAGTATTAATACACAGGAATAAGAGCTACTTGGCAGACCCAAATCAATTTCCAAGGTTATAGCTACACATAGGCCAATACAGTGAGGGAAAAAAGTATTTGATCCCCTGCTGATTTTGTACGTTTTCCCACTGACAAAGAAATGATCAGTCTATAATTTTAATGGTAGGTTTATTTGAACAGTGAGAGACAGAATAACAACCACAAAATCCAGAAAAACACGTCAAAAATGTTATGAATTGATTTGCATTTTAATGAGGGAAATAAGTATTTGACCCCCTCTCAATCAGAAAGATTTCTGGCTCCCAGGTGTCTTTTATACAGGTAACGAGCTGAGATTAGGAGCACACTCTTAAAGGGAGTGCTCCTAATCTCAGTTTGTTACCTGTATAAAAGACACCTGTCCACAGAAGCGATCAATCAATCAGATTCCAAACTCTACACCATGGCCAAGACCAAAGAGCTCTCCAAGGATGTCAGGGACAAGATTGTAGACCTACACAAGGCTGGAATGGGCTACAACACCATTGCCAAGCAGCTTGGTGAGAAGGTGACAACAGTTGGTGCGATTATTCGCAAATGGAAGAAACACAAAAGAACTCCCTCGGCCTGGGGCTCCATGCAAGATCTCACCTCGTGGAGTTGCAATGATCATGAGAACGGTGAGGAATCAGCCCAGAACTTCACGGGAGGATCTTGTCAATGATCTCAAGGCAGCTGGGACCATACTCACCAACAAAACAATTGGTAACACACTACGCCGTGATGGACTGAAATCCTGCAGCGCCCGCAAGATCCCCCTACTCAAGAAAGCACATATACAGGGCCATCTGAAGTTTGCCAATGAACATCTGAATGATTCAGAGGAGAACTGGGTGAAAGTGTTGTGGTCAGATGAGACCAAAATCGAGCTTTTTGGCATCAACTCAACTCGCCGTGTTTGGAGGAGGAGAAATGCTGCCTATGACCCCAAGAACACCATCCCCACCGTCAAACATGGAGGTGGAAACATTATGATTTGGGGGTGTTTTTCTGCTAAGGGGACAGGACAACTTCACCGCATCAAATGGACGATGGACGGGGCCATGTACCGTCAAATCTTGGGTGAGAACCTCCTTCCCTCAGTCAAAAGTTTGGACACACCATTTTTTACATTGTAGAATAATAGTGAAGACATCAAAACTATGAAATAACACATATGGAATGATGTAGTAACCAAAAAAGTGTTAAGCAAATCAAAATATATTTTATATTTGAGATTCTTCAAATAGCCACCCTTTGCCTTAATGACAGCTTTGCACACCCTTGGCATTTTCTCAACCAGCTTCATGAGGTAGTTACCTGGAATGCAGTTCAATTAACAGGTGTGCAAAGCTGACGTCAAGGCAAAGGGTGGCTACTTTGAAGAATCTAAAATCTAAAGTATATTTTGATTTGTTTAACACTTTTTTGGTTACTACATGATTCCATATGTGTTTTATCATAGTTTTGATGCCTTCACTATTATTCTACAATGTAGAAAATAGTAAAAATTAAGAAAAACCCTTGAATGAGTAGGTGTGTCCAAACGTTTGACTGGTACTGTATATGGGGGTTTGGAAATGATGCAGACAATTACATTGATTGAAGTTACAATCTATCTGCAATATTAAAGCTGATCTACCCCCTAAAATAACGTTGAAAACATGCAGACTTGGAACAGGGATGTACTCATCAAAGACACTTAGAACTGAAAGCAAAGTTATGAGCAGTGCTTGGGTGTGTGTTTAAACAAGGTGCTCTTTGGAGTTATTGGAGCTTACTTCAGTTTTCAAAACATTTCCCAGGCACTCTTTCAATTGTGGAAAGTTTAAAAGCCTTTATTATATTGCCATGACCACAAGGTTAAAAACTTCAAACATGGTACACTATCTGAAGAAAAACACTCTGTGGAATACAATATGGGAGTCCACCAAAGGGGTCTGTCTAAAGATAGAATGTTCAGAATCCAAGAATACATCATTTTCTCCTAACTAAAAACGTAGGCTCTATCAGAACCACTTGTTTTAAAGTACAATCAATGGTTGATTGTACATGTAGCTTAATAATAACTATGTGATAGTGATCAGGTTGTTACTCCTATCAATTTTGGGCTCAAAGAGCACCTGGAAAATGTCTGCAGATCCCTATCCAAAGAATAGAAACAAGCACTTATCGAAATGACCTCCATGTGAGTACCTGAATAAGATCAGAACTGTGATGTACAGTGCATTCGGAAAGTTACTTTTTCCACATTTTATTACGTTACAGCCTTATTCTAAAATGATAATTTTTTTAAATGTCTGGTTTAAAAACATATATCTACAAACAATTCCTTATAATTACAAATTGAAAAAAAGGTTTTTAGAATTTTTTGCAAATGTAAGAAAAATATAAAACAGAAATACCTTATTTTACATAAGTATTCAGACCTTTTCCTATGAGACTCGAAATTGAACTCAGGTGCATCCTGTTTCCATTGATCATCTTTGAGTTGTTTCTACAACTTGATTGGAATTCACCTGTGGTACATTAAATTGACTGGACATGATTTGGAAAGGCACACACCTGTCTATATAAGGCCCCACAGTTGACAGTGCATGTCAGAGCAAAAACCAAGCCATGAGGTCGAAGGAATTGTCCGCAGAGCTCTGAGACAAGATCGTGTCGAGGCACAGATCTGGGGAAGGGTACCAAAACATTTCTGCAGCATTGAAGGTCCCCAAGAACACAGAGGCCTCCATCATTCCTAAATTTTTGAACCACCAAGGCTCTTCCTAGAGCTGGCTGCCCGGCCAAACTGAGCAATCGGGGTAGAAGGGTCTTGGTCAGGGAAGTGACCAAGAACCCGATGGTCACTCTGACAGAGCTCCAGAGTTCCTCTGTGGAGATGGGAGAACCTTCCAGAAGGACAACCATCTCTGATGTACTCCAGCAATCAGGCCTTTATGGTAGAGTGGCCAGATGGAAGCCACTCCTCAGTAAAAGGCACATGATAGCCCGCTTGGAGTTTGCCAAAAGGCACCTAAAGCACTCAGACCATTAGAAACAAGATTATCTGGTCTGATGAAACCAAGATTGAACTCTTTGGCCTGAATGCCAAGCGTCACGTCTGGAGGAAACCTGGCACCATCCCTACGGTGACACATGGTGGTGGCAGCATCATGCTGTGGGGATGTTTTTCAGTGGCATGGACTGGGAGACTAATAAAGATTCACCTTCCAACAGGACAACGACTCTAAGTACACAGCCAAGACAACGCAGGAGTGGCTTCGGGACAAGTCTTTCTATGTCCTTGAGTGGCCCAGCCTGAGCCTGGACTTGAACCCGATCGAACATCTCTGGAGAGACCTGAAAATAGCTGTGCAGCGACACTCCCCATCCAAAAAACTGTTTTTGCTTTGTCATTATGGGGTATTGTGATGAGGGGAAAAAAAACGATTTAATCCATTTTAGAATAAGGCTGTAATGTAACAAAATGTGGAAAAAGTCAAGGGGTCTGAATACTTTCCGAATGCACTGTAAGGAACAAATGAGATTATTTATATTTATCATGATGAAGGGAAAATGCCTTACAGGGGGAGTTCTATAGAAGAAAGCCCCTGAGATAGAGTGGGAGAAGAGGCATTTGGAGGTCAAGACTTCTACCCCAGCAGACATGGGAAACTGTTGAAAACACTGGATTCTCAGCAGTCAAAGGATCCAAGTGTTTTCACACTCCGCCTGGATGCAAACATTAACGGCTGTAAAACGGCTTATTAAAAACATTTTATTTGCTTCTTGGATCATCAAATAAATTAGATACAAGCTTTTTATTTGATAGAGCCCTGCTTATAACAGTGAGTGCTAAACTGCCTGCAGGTAAGGTTTTGTGACCAGATGATTTGTGTTAGCCATGAACAATTTGAGAAAACTTGGGGGAAAAAATGGAATCCGAGTACCATACCCACTAATGTATGTAGCCTAACCCTTTAGGGGTTTTGATCATTAACTATCAAAGGAAATATGAGAATCAGAGCAGTGAAACAAAAATAAGTTTGTTTATAAGATATTGTTAAGTGCAA